GTGAAAAGCTGGCAGAGCCCGTGGTCTGTGTGCACTGCTCCTCGGAGTGCCCCTGTGCCAATCCCAGCAGACACAGCCAGTGCCCCTGGCAGTGCCTGTGAGACTCCAAGCCCTGGAACACTACCTGGGAGGTTCAGATACTACCAGGACTGCTCTTTCTTTGATCAACTGCAAAAGAAAGCGTTCGTGCCTTCCTCAGCAGCCAGGAGGACCCACACTTTAACTGAAAGCAACCTATACTTTGCTAACTGAAAGCAACCCATTCTTTAACAAGTCAAAGCAACCCATACTTTAAAAAGTGAAAGCAACTCCTGAACAAATGCGCAGTTATTCCATATGGATGAAAAGATGTGCACTGAATACCAGGCACCTACTGATAAATTACTGTGCTAGTTACAGCATAGCAGCAGCCTCTTTGCCATAATGGGTGTGCTGAGCCAGCTGCTGAACCACTTGAGCCCTAACTGCACTCAGTTATTATCCCCAAACCCTCGTTTTCCAGCCAAGATCCCACTCTTCTCTCCCTCCTACCATCATTATTATTAGTGACTCATCCTAGTAAAGACTGATCCTTCCTGGCTGATGTTGAGAGCCTCAGCTGCAAGGGCCAAGTGAACTTAAGTGCAAGAATTCAAGGCAGCTTCGAAATACTGCACCAGTGAAACCAGCCAAAGGTAAGTAAGGAGAAGAAAAATAAATAAAAGAGTGAGCGAGAGCTGAAGTTTCAAGTCTGCCACCGTTTGCAAGACAGATCAACTGATTTTCTGGATAGTCCAGAGATCACAGACCTCAGAGTGGTACCGTTTGCCTGGCAGGTGCATGCTGAGGTTTAAAAGACATTTTTCTGGTGCAGACAGCTTTTCTGGTTTTGTGTGTGCTAATTGCGTGTCACGTTTGGCATGAAGCCTCTTCTGTTGCCTGGGCTGAAGTACCTCTGCTTGAATCAGAGAAACACAGGCTGGTTTGGGCTGGCAGGGACCTTACAGCCCATCTAATTCCAGCCCCTGCCACGGGCAGGGCCCCCTGCCCCCAGCCCAGGCTGCCCCCAGCCCCATCCAGCCTGGCCTTGGGCACTGCCAGGGATGGGGCAGCCCCAGCTCCTGGGGCAGCCTGGGCAGGGCCTCACTGCCCTCTGAGGGAAGAATTTCTTCCTCATATCTAACCTAAATCTATTCTTTCACTTTAAAACCATTGCCCCTTGTCCTATCATTATCTGAATGAGTAAAAAGTCACTCTCCAGTCTTTTTCTAAGCCTCCTTTAAGTACTGGAAAGCTGCAATGAGTCTTCCTGGAGCCTTCTCTTCTCCAGGATGAACACCCCCAGCTCTCTTCTACTTCACAGCAGAAGTGCTCCAGTGCTCTGAGCATCTTTGTGGCCTCGCCTGGACCTGCTCTAACAGCCCCTCATCCTTCTTGTGCTGGGGCCCCAGACCTGGACGCAAGGCTCAGGCTAGGGCCTCACCAGAGCAGAGCAGAGGGGAATAATCACCTCCCGTGACCTGATCCACCTGTGCTACTGCACCAGCCTCCTTTGGGAGTTCCCTGACCTAGCAAGAAGAGAGGAATTTCTCTCCTAATTTCAGAGGAGAAATTTTTCCAAGAGAAGAAGGATCTCATATGTCCAAAACTTTGGAATTTGTAGTGGAAACGAGATGCTCTTGTATTTACAAGACTGAGTTAACACAACTATTTCTCCGCAGAAAAGTGTAGAATGATATACTAGAGAAATGAAAGCAACAATAAACGTGGAACAAAAGCAGATGGAGAAATGGCTGAAGTGATTAATTGTGAATCAAGGAGTGGCAATTCATTTGTGCGTGTAATCTGCAATTTGCATAATCCTATACTGAAAGCCAAATTGTTCAACCATTATGCATATTCATGCCTGATTCAGGCAAACACTCAAGTTCTTTGGGATCTGAGCACCTGCTTATGAGATTTTGCTGAATGGGAGTGGGATAATTCGTGTGCCTAAAGTTAAGCGTGTCATTTGCTGAAAGAACAGTTATGTGTGATGGTATTTGGAGTGAGACTTGCATCTGATCTGACCATCCATATGGTGAACCAGGTGAGTACAAGTCCCACTTCCCCTTCTAGCAGCACAGTTCATCCCAGGAGATGAGCGAGGAAGGGAGGCTGACAGAAGAAAACCTTCACTTTTAACTCTAAAGCACAGCCAAGTGTTGCTGAACCGAACTGGTCTGAGACAGGGATATGCTTCCTGATTCCAAACCTCATCCTGCAAGCCCAGTGACCTGGCAGTCTATGTGCAGCAGCGCCGTGACAAATCTCTCCGCAGTTCATGCTTGCGAAAGCACTTTTGACTTTAAATAAGAGTGAAGCTGAACTGAAACCAATATTTGAGCTTAAAAATGACTTTCATTAAGAAAGCAAAGTACGGTATCTGATTTTGTCATTGCTATTCCGTGCAATTAGGGAAAAAATGATGCATAACAGCCTTGTTACTGTGCTGGGAAGGAGGATGTTAAGGGAATGGTGGACCATGCAAGGGGCAAGTTTGAACCAAGACTGTGATAAAAACAAGTCTTCTTGTTTATCCCTTGACTAAATATTGAAACACATTATATTCAATTAATAATAATAATAATAATAATAATAATACCCTTACTTTTCAACAAAATGACCACTTGCTAACTAGTTGTTTGAAGGAATGCACGCCATCACCAGGGAGAAATGTACTGAAGAGCCTCTGCTTCAGTTCTTGGTGGCTTCTTTTTCTAAAGGAAATTACAATTCTGGAAGAAAGCTGAAGCAGCATAGGGAAAATAAAAATCCTGTTATATTGTCCTAGATGAACCACACAGTGTAGGTTACCTCTACTGTGATTACTTAGCGTGCACATGTGTGTACAGTTATTGTGGACAATATTAAACACGACACTATTGAACAGTACGTTTTTAACATTACTGAGATGTGGTTAAGAATATTTAATGGGACCTTTAACAGGTTGAGTGCATCTGAAAAATTCCTGGTGTGCTCCTGTCTTCAAATGCCTTAAAAAATTCAACCCAAAGGCACAACGGCTCAAGTTTTTGATTGCTGGTGTTCCTTTGTTTGTGGTTGCTGTGATGGGAAATCCTAAAGTAATGAGCAGTGAGATTCTAATATTAATTAATGTGAAATTACCAGTGACTGTGTGGAGGAGCAATTGGTCCCAGAATGGTAACCTGCAGAACTGAGGGAACCTAAATCCAAAGTTTGCTTCTTCCAGCCTTCTAGAAAGAAGCTGATGCTTCTAATTATTTATTAGATAAGAGTTGGAAATTGTGTTATCAGTGCATGTATAGGTACAGGGTGGGTACCAATGAAGCAGCTGCATGTGGTTGTGTCCTGTATTTAACACACTTCCTAATTCTTGATTCAAATCTAATCCAGCAACCTGGCCTCTAAGTTCACAGCAGGGTATAACAGCCTCATCTGTCTTACAGCAGCACTGCTTGATGAAACTGTGCTATGAGACCTTGGCCTTATCCAGCCTGAACAGCCCCTGTCATATGTTTGTTTTCCCATTTATCTTGAGCATCTTCTCACCATTTCTCCTCTGCGTCTTTCCCAGTCTACCTGTCAGAAAGTAGTTTCTCTCCATCCCGATGGTTCCCTGTAGGTTCTCATTGCTTAAACCTGTTTAGAGCAGATTTCTACTTCTGCTCTCTACAGCCCACCTTCATGTGTAAGTGGCTACAACTGTTCCTTTTTATATCCCCCCACTTGTCCTGAAAAAAAGATCCATAAAGCCATTTTGCTTTTCACTGGAAAATAATGCAGAGAGTCGTGTATTGCCTGTGCTTATGTAAGATTGACAAAGCACCCTGGTGACAGAGTGATAAAACTTTTCTCAGTTTCATATTTTCTTAAAGCCTTCTAAAACCAGGTTGCTAATGGAAAAGTTTCTAGAAAAGAGCCCAACAAAAGCCCAAAGAGCATTCACTTTGACACGTACTTTGCCCCAGTGACTACTTAGTCCTTCAGAGTGCTACTTTTAGGAGTGGGTAATCCCCTTGCCAAGAGATTCAAAGATCTGAAATTCTCCATCAATCCTTCAGAGCAAGGAGCAACCTCGTGCTGGGCTCCTCTGCAAGTCTTTGCTGGGGAGTATTTTGTCAGATGGGCTGCTCAACCCAAAGATACAGCTGAGAAACCCACAGCTCCAGTGGGATAGCTGTGAGCTTCTGTCTAAAGCTGTGCTTGCTTTTCCTGTCCCAGACACCTCTCAAAGACTGTGAAAGCTTGAATTCATGCAGATTGCCTTGATACCGTCACACTGACTCCTTTCTTTAAATAAATAAATAAATAAGGAACTACAACTGAAAGAGAAATGACAGATGCCTGTCCTGGTTTCTTCATCTCTTCTATGTACAAGTCCATTTGGGGGTGATAGACTTCAAAACACAGCAGGACCTAGGATAAAGGTCTTGCTTTCTTCTCCCTTTCCTAAGACTTTTGTTTAGAATGGTTAAATCACTTGTAGAAAAAAAATGAAGAAAAATACCCCTGACCGATTCACAACCTGCACTTCATTCGTGCCCCAATACAGAAAGCTTACAGGGAGTTTTCGTTAGCAATTAACATTTACAAATCTCAGCTCTCCTTGTGCTTTTGGAACAAATATCGATTAACTATCAGTGAAAGGTTTTATTCAGGAGCTTTGGCTTCCAAAATAAAACCAAACCACACATTCTTCCCCTTTGCTACTGTAGTTATTTGAGGGCAGAAAAGCTCTGAATCTTTGACACAGCCTGTGATCTGCCTTCTGGTTATGTTCACATCGGGAGACTCTAATTAATCCCCTCGGAGAAGCCCCCTGAAGGGATAGTTAAGAGCAATAATCCTTGTAATAGTCTCATCACATCAGAAGTGTGTGCAACCTACTTGCTTGCCTCACCCTGTCCAGAGTATGCCCCAGGAAGATGATAAATGCCCCAGAATGGGGTATATATGGGGTATTATCTCTCTGTGAAAGGAATAACTTGATGGCAATATTTTTTTTTCTTTAATCATATCAGGGAAACTGTTTCCAATACCAGGCCATCCCCACCACACAGTATGAGGGGCCGGAGAAAAAGAGGGGGAAAGAAAGAGATAATAATAAGCAAAATCCATCTTGAGAGATTATCTATATCGCAGAGTCATGCAAGTAGTATGGCCCACATTAAAGGAACAAAGTTAACATTATAGCTTCTAACAGATTAAGAAGGCCAATCAATTTTGCAGAGCACATTTATATTTGTCTGAAACTTGCAAATTAGGTAATGGAGATTTTCTAGCATCTGGTCTATTTATAAGACATTAGCAACATTGGACTGTGATCTTTTCAATGTTATCTTTAGAAACATTGTGATTCTGGTGATATTATGATGTTACTGCAACATTAATCAATAGAACAAGTCATATACTAAGCATTATCATAAAGTACCAATCAATTACTGTTCCTTGAAATGCACATACATATTATGCAGTTTATGGATTAAACAGAGAAAAGGTAATGTTTTCTGGATAAGATATCCTTGCCGTCTGTGCTTTATCTTGTTTCAAAGCCAGAAAGATCAGCTGTAAATAAAAGAACAGCACAGGATTTGGCTTTTGTTAGAAAATTAGTCCTTGATGCCTAATAAAGGATTCTGAATGGATATTCAGCCAATATGCAGCATTTTCTGTAATCTTAATGTTTCTATGAGGCTGTTGAAAGGATGAATCCAGTTAAAGAATTTGCATTTAACTGGTTTTTTGAATTTGTCTAGACCTAGCTGTTGATACAGCTGGTTGTTAAACCACGTGGAGTTAGGGAGTGTGTGTTTAAATCCCACGGGACCAAACCCATCTCTGGTGTTCTCTTAGCAGGCTCCCCCACAACACCAGGCTCCTACTTTGCCTCCTCCTTCCCTGAGCATATTAGTATGTGGTCTGAGGGCACATTTAGATAGAAAACAGCAAATTAGGGGTGCAGATAGATGCAATGTGCTGAAGACATGAATATGCCCAAGGAAGGCTGGGATTCAGCTTATCAGCCTTGGTCCCAGGTTTCTTCTCTTGTCTATGTTGTGGCTAAGGGCTGCTGAGACCCTATTTCAATCCAGGCACTTAAGGGAAGATGTAAGTGCCAAGTTTTCTGGTTTAGCTTTTTCTCCTCCTTTTGGGTACCTAAAATTAGGCTTTGCAATGCACTTGGGATGTGTGCTCTTTCAATCAGAACAGCTCAGCTCCCATACTGCCTGCAGGTGGTCACTGTTTGTGTGCTCCTCGTTTTCCACCTACCTGAGACCCTGGTGGCTGTTTTGCAAATATGCTGAGTATACACAGCTGCAGTTGAAGTTGGAGGGAAATGCACTTGGAATAAAAAGTGCTAAATCACTACTAAGGTGCTAAGCACCCTGAGGTATCAAACCCAAAGCATCCTAACCTGGGTATCCAAAATAAGTGAATAACTGTAAATGAAATCTCATTATGCCTCACTTCTCTGGCTGAAAACAAGGGTTAACAATTGCCTGTTATCTCACTGAGGTAGCAAGAAAATAACCAGGCTGAATTTGTGAGCCATTCAGGCACTGTAGCAAGACGTGCCAGAGAAAAAGCCTACAGGAAATTAATAATTCGGTCTTCAGAGCAAGGTTTGAAATGTGTGGAGCAAATTGAGCCTGGCTGACACACTGAGAAACAAGAAAAAAAACATAACACAGAATAACTGCTCAGCCTGCGGAGAGCAGTCCATCCTGTGAGTGAAATGTTGCATGATTTTATGAGGATGCACGGTGAGATGAACAGATGAAGGCTGCCCCAAGGAGCCCGGGCTAGGATTTTTTTCTCTGCCTTAACACGAAGGGCTCTATTTTGCAGCTTTAAAAAATAATCTGGAAATTTGGGGACAGTTATGTTTACGTGAACTGTGCCGTATCCATATCTATGCTCTCTAGAGAGTCCAGAGACAGCAGGTTTTGTCCCACAGCAATTTGTTCTGTTCAGAGATCACTGTGTAGGAGATCACCTGCAGGGTAGGATGAGTCCACTGGGGCCCACGACCCTCCTGCATGTTATCAAGCGAGGTCAGACAACTGGCTGAGGAAAGCTATTTATCCTTTTTCATCCAAAATTAAGGGAGATGATCTACAATGTGTGGCTTTGTAAATCATGGGTCCCATCACTATGAATAATTGACAGGTCCTGCTTAGCCTTTCAGGATGTTGCATAGCCTTTTGCATGTTGTTTAGGAATGGTCTAAATTCCTGTAAGGGATTTTTGTCGTGGTTGGTAGAAAGCCACACTGTGGGCTGACATTCAGGCACTCTTTAAGTCAGGGCAAATCTTGAAATGGAGCCTTGGCATCTGTCCTGAAATGACACAGAGATGGAAGGTCTTCAGTACAAGGCAAGGGGGCAGCTGGTAAGGCTTTCTTCTTGTTTTGTATTACAGTAAAAATTGCAATAGCCCAAATGTGTGCAAAGCAGCTGGCAATGTCCAGAGGAATAAGACTTCACAGTGACTGAGTCCTACTCAATGTTTCTGTAGTTACACCAAGAAATCTATTCATCTAAGCTGATAATAAATAAAGTATATTATATCATTTCCTGATACGTTGTTTGATTCATTATATAAGATTTTAATGGTAGCAGTAAAGCCAATTTCATCCTTCCTGACAGTATTTATGCACAAACTATGAAAATTATACACCAGTGATTTGATTCAGTTATAAATCATGGGGCAATTTATCCATTTTTATTTTTCCCTTTAAAAAGAGTGAATACTTTCTATCGCCATCGCTAAGCAGAAAAGCATATGCACGTCTCCAGTACATGAGAGAGCAAAAATCCCTCTGCTGTGAAATACAGCTTCAGCCACGGATCCCCTCATCCAGCAGTTTCAGACCCTCCCAGCTGCACTTTTTTTAGGCTCTTTAAGATCTTTGTGCTTCAAACACCGGAGCCAGCTGCAGTGCATTTTGGCTAAGAGCTGCTGGAATAGGCAGGTTTGTGTCTCTGCTCCCACACTGGGCACAGAGGAATTGATGTTTGCAGCCCCCAGCTGCCATTTGCAGCGTGGTGGAGGTGTGCAGACCTTCCCCTGTCCTACAAAGCTGTTTTCTCTGCTGCTTCTTTAGTCTCCACTTTTATACTAGAAGTTCATCATGGCCTGCTCTTGAAGTCTTCTCTTAAACCAGTACCTTCCAGCACGGAAGATAAAGAGCATCTGTCCATTAAGTGGGGTTAAAAATTGATACCAGAGTCTCCCAACACCATCTCCAATGGGCAACCTGCAGATCATGCTGCCAGGGAGCAAAATCCTTCCCTTCAGGGACCACAGCACCTTAAAGAGTCTTACTGGGTGAAGACACCATTGGTTTGGGCAACATTTCCAAACAGCTGGAGGGCATAATGGCAAGAAAACGGCCCCAAAATGCAGCCTTTTCATGGCTGAGTCACAGCAATGAGGAACTCACAGCAACACACCTGAAGGCTCCACACAGGAAGGAAAGCTTTCAGAGCTGCCTCTGGATGTCCATCACGGCCAGCTGGGTGGCAAAGCAACCTTCTCTGCCTTCATTGTCTTCACAATGAACCTGCATAGTGGTTCAAGAGAAACAATTCTAAATAAAATAATTAAAATAAAATAAAATAAAATAAATAAATAAAATAAAATAAAATAAAATAAAATAAAATAAAATAAAATAAAATAAAATAAAATAAAATAAACAGTTGCTGTTAGATAAGGAACAGAGGAGTAAAAGGGACTTCAGGTGTCATTGAGCCCACTTGTATGTTTTGCAAGTGAACACCCAATATTGCTCATTTCAGAATTTTGAAGAAACATCAGTAAGTATATCTCTCTTACTTCCTAAGGCTGTAAGATAATAGCCATAAATTGAATTTATTATTGGAAATTTCAAAGTTATCAGTGTCTAAATAGATTAGAGATGCTTTGAATGTTTTTGTCAATGTTCATTCATGGACTGAAAGGAATACTGTTATTTCTCTGGTTGAAGTAACTCCCCGAGACTTTTCCAGAGTTTGGGCCAAAAAATCCAGTGGAATAAAGTTTAAAAATGAAATTCCTTATACATCCTGTTAAACAGTGCTACAGGTCCCACAGAAGCAGTGACTCCTTTCTTGGGTGTTGGCGATGCATCTGTATTGACCAGGCAACATGTGAAATGCACTCCTCCAACCAGTCTTTGAGGCAAGAGCAAGATTAAATGATTATGTATGTGATATATGCTGGTTTGGTGTATTTTTTTCTTTTATTTGCTTTCCACAAATATGTATGCACTCCTCTGGCATTTTGTGCTGGAAGATGAGAACTGCAGTCGTGATGCAACAGAGTGTGATTGCACAATTCAGCCTCCAGGCATTAACTCCGACTAAGAGAAAAAGTTGTTCCCAGGTAGTTTGAAGCAAAGGTCAGTCTCAGCCTTTATGTCACCCAAACAAATTCAATTCTCCATCCCAACCCTTTCTTCTTTTCTCCTTTCAGAAGGACAACATCCGTCCTTTAAGCTTTTCGGGTTTTATTAGCATTATCTTTATTTATTTATTTATTTATTGGCTTATTTATTTATTGCTAGTGACCTGATGAGGTCCATGGATAGTAACTTAGGGCAGTGAGGCTCAGAAGTACAATACGTTGCTCTGTTTGCCAGCAGAATTGCATAACACCATGCAGATTCTCATAGGGAGCAGAGCATTTGTCTCCCATCCAGTAGCTGCAGAACTAATTAGACCTGACCTTGGTTTTATTATTTTTTCTCTATAAATAAGATACTCTTATCCTATGCCAAATTCTATAACTTGATTCATATAACATCTATCTTTTGAATCAATTTGCTGCTGAGAAAATGATAGAGATTTAAATTAACCAATTTAATTATCTTTCCTCTCTGTTGCATATTTATTGTTTGGATTTGTAAGACATTATAAAACAAACCCTTCAAGAACTGAAAAGGGTTGATCTTGACATGTCCCCAGAGTTCTGATGTTTTTATAGAGTTATCCACACCCTTCCCAGAACAGAGATGCAAGAAAAAAAATCTGTCTGAATGCAGAGCTCATTCCAGTGCAATTGGGCAAAGAGTTTTGACATACTTCTTGCATGCTTTTAAAGTATAATTGGATTTAACCACCAAAAAAACAGGCGAATGTCGTAAAAAGCCTTCATCACAAGACCATGGATTATAAAACCTCTGATCCAAGGCATTTGAACTATGGCTCTTGAGATTCATTAAATGCTCTTCTAATTATCCTGTTTATAATCAACATGTCATTCTGCACACACCCTCCAGCTAAGGTTTACCTTCACATGCAAGAAGCTTTCTGACACAAAGGAAATGGAGACAATAACTTTGAAATTAAACTAGCATTTTAATCATCTATTGATCTGTTGTTGTAATGATGTGAAGCTACATCTTACACCATGACCATCTGTAGATTGCAGTTCAGAAATCTGAAATCATTTTGACTGTGATTTTTTTTTTAAAGATAATTACAGACAGAACATGAACTTTTTTTTTTTTTTGTAATTTTCTTGTTTAATAATAAAAAAACAGATGTAGAACTAAAGGTGAACAGGATTAGGCTACACAACCAAAGTGTCTAAAGTAATTAATCTGTGTTTTGGGGGTTTGCAAACTGAAGCAGATCAAACTGATATTTTTCTTTCACTCCTTTTCACTGGCAGCATCTAGGAACTGCTGATCCAGACCCCAAGCCCTCTTTAAACATGTACTGGGGTGTGTGGAGGGACCCAGCAACCATTTCAGGGCAGCGCCTGACATGTAGTTACCTGAAGGAGAAGGTTTTGAGGCTTTTCAGGTCTCCTGCCACATATTTACAGTCCAGCAAGTAACAGCAGAGCAATTCAGCTGATTCATAGAAAGGTTCTACCGTGCTGTGGTGGTTTTGCCCTGCTAAACAGCTGAAGTCCATCACAGCTGCTCTCTCACTCCCTTTCCTCAAAGAAAAGGTGGAGCAAATACAAGGGGAAGGGCTCATGGGTTGAGATACCATTGAGATACCATTCCCTTGAAGAAGGATGGCAGAGCAGTAGGCTGTGAATCAGGAAATTTGGCTTCTTGTCTCCATCCTGTCACACATTTTTTAATAAACCTGTGCCATTTTCAGTAAGTTGTTTCCCACACTTTCTGCAACAGACCACATGTCTGCTGGGGCAGGGTGTGCATCCACCCTTAAAGCTCCGCTCACTGACTTCACGGACATCATGATAGCCCTGTTTGTCTTGAAATCACGTGCTGCCTACCATCATTTCCAAAATCCAGCATTGTACAGGTTGTTTAGAGAGCGACTTAGGCCTGGGAGAGATCCTGCCCTTAGCATTGAATCTGGCAGTGACACTTCAACTTAGCAGCTCCACAGAATGCAGTGAAAAATGCCTGAAAACAAATCAAATTTCATATCAGATATTGCAGAGTCATTGATATGGAGATATTTGTTTGCCATATCTCTTTCCTCTATAACCAGGGACTTTTCCAAGGGAAAAATGCCTTGCTCATTACCAATACCTGTACTGTAGTCACACCCTTGTACCAGCTTCAGAGAGGATCAGTATTACAGAAATTATTACAGGCAGACTTGGCCCTTAGTGGCACTGAAGCTAGACCAAAAATAAAGCACCACATGTGAACACAAGAGTGGAAGAGGACTGGTCAAGGCAGGGACAGTGCTCATGCACCACCTGAGCAGATATCACTGTGGACAGCAAAATAATTTGGTTTCTTCCAGGTATAGCAGTGCATTACTCTTTGGCTTACCCATGGCATCTCCAGCTTGAATTTTAGCACAGTAAGGCACACAATTTTAAATACTGTATTTATTGGCACATTATTTGATTTTATGGTAGGAAATGGGCTGGAAAATGTACAGAAAATGAGAATAAAAAAGTTTTATATTTTCAGATATCATGGGATCACACTGTGAAGTTGACACGATAGCCTCATTACCTTCTTTCTCTCGCAAGGGTTATTTTACTGCTAGGGACTGCTAGGAGTTAGTTAATTGGTTACTGTGTCCTACTGCAGAATATTCCTTGATTATTTCTGCCTCTCTCATTTTAGAAGAGCAAGTTTTGAGCAACTTGGTCCAGTAGGAGGTGTCCCTGCCCATGACAGGGTGTTGGAATTAGATGATCTTTAGGGTCCCTTCCAACCCAATCCACTCTAGGATTCTATGACACAATATATTTGATGCTTGTGGCTTCTTTTCTGGTAGGCCCATGCAGATATCATTCAGGCGGGTAAGGGTTTCAAAAAAATAATATGCCAAAAACATTCTGCTGTTGCTGGATGTTGTATTTTAATGGGCAGAATTATAATTTGTTCAACCACAAAATGATGATGATAATAATAATAAAAATGTCCCAACACCATGTTTGTCAAAATCATACTTAACAGTGACTTCTTGCCTGCTCTGAAGGTAAGTAGAATTCTTCTAAGTTGTTAAAAGCTGGCCCAGGGAGCAGTTGTGGCTGGCTGTGTCACCTGCAGCGGAGTGGTGGCTCCGTGAAAAGCTTCAGCACTGAAGCCTTTGATGCCAGCAGGCACTGTGATGAAGAGGATGGCCTGAAGAGGCAGGTGTGGGGAAGAACCACAAACTCTGTTCTTTCTTCTGCCAACCTGGCTGCAATATTTGCATTTCATTCCAGTTTTCAAATAGGAGTCTCTTCACTTTGTTTATTTTTTTTTTCACTAACTCCTTTTCCTCCTCTCTTCTGTGATGCTCACAGAACAGTGCCAATCGCCCCCCAGCTCCGGGCCTCTTTTGCATTGAAAATTCAGCAGCTCTGTATGTGACAGATCCAGCTCTGGCTTAAGCTGCGTGATTCAAATGATACGGCAACTTCATTTACACCAGGGCTGAAAGCAGCTGTGAATGTCTGGAGGTGATGAATAGGGGACACCATGCTGTGGCAATGCAGGTTGTGTTTTGGAAGGTGGATAATTCTTTCACTCTAATAGCTCAAGTACAGCAGTTTAACCCTGGAGTGCATTTTCCAATTGTTATATCTTGCTTTAGCCACATGATCCAATTGACTTTAATGGTAGTCGAGCAGCTAAAACTTCTGCAAAGCTCAGAAAATTTATCCTCTGATGTCAAAAGAGGATATGTGATTCTGAAAGCAAATTAGGTATCCATCCAAACCACTTGAAATATGAAAATATATAGAGAAGGTAGGATAATTTTGATCTTTTTTTTTTCCTCCACAGGAAACCACAGAGCAAAGTGAAAGAGTAGACTTGGCTTTCATCAGCAAAGCCATTGTACCTTTTCACAAATAAGATCTGTATTAATGAGTTCATCAAAATCCCAACGCTCCACTATATATAAACACCATATATATTTGGGCAGCTCTTAATTAGACATTTAATCAATGACTTCTAATGGAAAAAGATTGTGGTTATGCAGTATTAAGAGATACCTCAGCATATCAGATTTTTCCTATAAATGGTGCAACAGGATGGTTTTGAATCAATCTTTATTTTCTGGATTTAATGTTTATTCATGAAAATGGGTCATCTGAAATACCAGTTTGCCCTTTGGATAAGTGGCACTGTTGCAAAGATCTGTAATTGTGTCCCTAATGTGAGCCGGAACCTTTGCAGGAGGAAGGGCATGCCTACTGCCCATTGAAGTCAATAGGGGAGGCATTACCTGCCGAGATCATGATGAAAGACCTGAGAGAGAGAGAAGAGGGGGCAGAGATGACAGAAAAAGGCATAGCAGAGGGGACAAAAAATAATGGGGTTGAACTCAGCAGGAAAGATAGGCAGGAAGAGCAATGAAAGCCAGGGACAGCTTTTTTGCATGCCAAGTAAAGAGGAGCAGAGCACAGGGCTGAGGTTATGGAAAAGAAAGCAATAAACTCTAAAGCATCAAAGAGAGAGTCCTGGATCTTTATATAAAGTCTTTCTAACCAATAACGTAATACATTGCAGCCAGGTCTTCCATGACCCACCTGCTCTAACCAGGTGGTTTTCACAGGCACCAGCCTACCATGGACCAGATCTGTCCTACCACCTGCTCGAAGTTATCAACCCGTCTGCAGCAGAACCCAGAAACCCATGTGCACTATTCTAAGAGATCTGCAAGCCAACCTTTTTTTTTTCTTTTTAAGATGTTCTCTTTAGGGGGACAGGTAGTAATATGGGAAGGTCCACTTTAGTCAACAACGCATCCAGCCCGGGCATCCCATTATTATTATTGTTCTTGTTATTAATATTATTATTAGTCCTATTGCTGTTATCATTAACAGTAATTTATTTTCACATACAGTATTTACTGTGCTTTGAAAACACAATCAGACAAAACATTGAATATGCATATATACACTATATAGCAAAACAATAGCAGTCTGAAAGCAGCAACGTTCAGTTTAAGTAAGCCTCAGTTCTGTCAGCTGAGGGCTTGACTCTATACATGCAATCTAACAAGAATGAGAAACTCCAGGATTTCCCTGCAACATTTCACCTCAGCTATGTCTGATTTGGAATAGTTTAATTTGCAAGTGCAATCACCATTTTGAACTATTTGAGAAATATTGTGGCAAACTGCATCAACTTAAAGATCATGTATAGGAAGCAGGCCTGTTTTCTTTTTGTTTGGTTTTACAAAGTTTAGACCCAGAGAGGACCTCTCTGAGACAACCCCTCTGTTGCATTTTATTGTTCACTATCAGACACTCTCACTTGACAGACCAGCATTTACAACATTTATTATACGCAGCATTTTGGCTGAATGAAATGAGCTTCCTTTGGATGTCAGAGATGGATACAAAAGGAATTGTGTACTTATGTGCCTGTCTTTAAACTTCATGCAGAGTTTAAGAACTTCAGGAAAATCCCTAGAACAGTAAAATGAATGGGATGACTGGAGAGTGAAATGAATCATTATGATGGAAGATGCATGCCAATGTCCCTGGACAGCCAGTGGAATTAAAGTTCAGAAAAGCATGGATTTAGCATCAACCCAGAGGGCACAGAAGATGAGCAGCATGCCTCTGTGTCGATGTCCCCCAGCACCACAAGTTCAAGCACAGCACTTCAGAGAGTGCCCAGTTTCTCCCACAGCCATCAGCTTTTCACTCACCTGCCCAAAATACCTATTTACAGGGCAACTCTGGAAAAAAAGCTATGCTGACATCACTTTCCCCCTGGTGAGACTCCTGGAGCGCTCTGCTCCCAGCAGCCTGGTAGCAAAAAGCAGAGGGGCTGGTTCATTGCTGTGCAGGCCATACAGGTTGCAGTAAGATTTGGGGTGGCCATGCACAGGTTGCAACTGTCTAATCGACTTTTCCACCGTGCTGGATGGCCGGTAGGGCAGAGGCTGGACTTGGGTTTTCCCTTGTCCTCTCTCTTCCATTTTTTATTTTTTTTCTTCCAAAAAGAATGGCTGCTTTGTCTGTTCATATGCTACAGAAACCAGCAAGAACTTGTCCGGCCATAGAGAAAGGTTTCACCAGGGACTACAGCCTACTACAAGGCATAAATCTATAGGATGCTGACCTCTGTTCTGCGTGGTGGATGGACACGGTTAACCTTTCATATTTAACATACTGCCTTTGTGCATTGTGCAGCAGTTTACTTTCTACTGCCACACTGTCTTATTAACCATGTAACTGATAACGCAGTCCCAGCTGGTGGGATTGCTGGAGCAATACCTGTCTGTCTTCTCCTTTCATTGAATTTCAAACCCTAAACAGCAATTGTTCAGAATGGGCTAATTAGTGCTAGGATCTCTCAACACAAATTAATGGGATTTTTTTTGTGTGTGTGAGGACTTAATAGAATTCTGATTTTATTGAATCATATCTGGAGCTTTGATCACTTGCATTCACGCACAGCCTGACAATACATCAACAGCAGCATCGCTGGCTCTGAAGACTGCCTGCAAGCTGGATGCTCCTACTCTTACGGTTGCTGGGGACTGCATAAAGACTACAGAGGTTTTTGTTTCCTGGAGTAAACTGGCCCAGCCTTGGATCAGAAGCCATATTCTTGATTACATACCCACTGAGAAAGGCTTGGAAACTGAGTGTGAGAACCTGAACTTTTCATACCAACCAAGGGGAGAGAAGGCAACATGCAGTCAGGATGAATTTCTGATGACAGAAATTCTGATGGGACAGCAAGGAAGCAGGGTATTACCTGCAGCAGCTCAGAAAGCCAGGTTTGTCCCTGTACTCCAGTGTCAGACCACTTGCCACCCCAGGATCCCAGCAGCAGGGACCCTGCTCTGTGCAGTGCAGAGCACGGAGCTGAGGTACATATTCAAAACATGCTGCTAGAAATGTTATTGGCCCCACGCAATAGACATCACTGCATATTCCCCGGTGCCATCTGCTGGTACTTCATCTACTTCTTTTGTACACAACCTTAAACCAACGCAGATGTTACTCAGCCACCTGGCAGCTGTAGCTTACCTTGTTGCCTGCAGTTTCCTTCACCAGACCCTCAGGCACAATTCTAACGCATCAGTTATAGTTGGGTGACGATGTTATTTCCTCACATTTCAAAATTTCAGAATTTGCCACTTTTTCTTTTTGCTCTCATTGTCCTCTCAAAGTGTGACTGACCAGAACATTTACCCATCGTACTGACTCCACATCTCCTAGGGCCAGTCCTTGGCACATGATGGCCAGCATCCACCAAGAAATCCAAGAAACTGCATGAAAGCAGATGTCACTGAGTGTGGGCAGGGGCAAACCAAAGTACACATTTGCAAGGCAGTATTTAAGCTGTGGGCCGTGTACAATAGTGGGAGCAGATGGGGGGAGACCTGAAACAGCCACATAGGACAGTATCTAGGTGGGTGAAACAGGCAGGTCAGCTACTGAGATGAAGAGGTGTTTTATGATTGTTGAGAGAGCAGAATAAAGCTTTAAGGAAGCTATAAAATATGTAATTGCTTCAGATTCTCAGTTGAGCTAGTGAAGAGTTACTTTTCCAAGTCCATCTGCCCACATTTCCATTAAAAAAAATAATTCAAAAATTCATTTGAAAAAGAAAATGCCAGCACAAAGCCAAAACCAAAGAATGGCTCAGCAGTGACCCAATAATTAATTTCTTTCCTCCCACTTCCTCTAAAATAAACCTTAGCTAAAAATCAACATGCATCTGCCTCAGCCATGGCATTGTGAACAAAGGCTGCAGCAAATACACAGATGTGCTGCTCAGAAGCACCTTTAGACAATGCCACTCTTCAGGTATCTGTGCACACAGTAGAAGCTACTTAACAGTTATTATACCAAATGGCTAGGATCTTGTGACTACTTCTTTTTCTGGAATAAAATGCTGTTCACCGTCACTGAAATGAAAAATAATTAAAATAAAATAATAATAAAAAAAAAGAATCTGGATTGCTTCCTATTCATGAAATGCTCCAGCATGCAGGGCTGAATCCGACACTAGCACAAAGGTGATAACCTACCAGAAGATGGTATCTAATAGGCTTAAGTAACCCAACACATTGAAGTACCCCTAGGAAACAACAAGTTGGGAACTACTTAAAAAAATCTGTGTTCATCCTCATGGAGCCAGAGGTGCAGTTATGGGCATCCCAGCTTGATATGTTAAGAAAAAAGAAAGCATCCAGTGGAAAGCTACCAACATGGCTAGGATAGTAGGACCCATAATCTATATTTCCAAAAAGGTCCCCTCGCTCTGGGAGCTGAAAAATACATATTAAGATTCCATTTTGTAAGGAGCTTTGCAATTTGATTTTTTTTGTTTGTTTTCTTAGGGTTTCATAGATTTAAATATTTACATTCTCCAGCAGGCAGTCAAGTCACAAAAACTGAGCGTGGTCACATTGTTACTGGTGACTCATGACTCCTGACAAAAACTTTCCTTAGGGAAGTTTATGCAATGCAGTTGCCTGATGGCTACAGGTTTGGAAGATGCCATTCATGGGCTGTGCTTTTGGAGAAATTTATACCACACCTAGAAACACAATGCACTAGGAAGAGCGCTGGTTGAGTCGCTGGGAGCTGGTGTTTGAAAAACCAGTAGATCTCTCAGCATGAGTCTTCACTGTCAAGGGAGGCAAGGAGTTTTTCCTGGTAGTTTAGAACAAACAAGACACTCAATTTCTTCAGTGGTCCAGGTCACTTCGCTACAGCAGTTTCTGAGTGGCAAGGGAGGAAACCTGGGGAAGGATAATGCTTGCTTTCAGCTTTGTTGTCATTAGAATTGACATTCCAAGTGTCAGAAAAGTCAGTTCCTGATGAGTTGAGACATACAGTAATTAATTTCAAGTACAATTTTGTATTATAATGAAAATTCATGCTAGAGAGGCTGGCAGCAGAATATTTTAATTACAATAAAGTAATCTACCAAACTGCAGCAAAAGAGTTACTTTCCCCCAACAATTACCCAGTTGTACACACTTCACAAATCCTGTGAGCTTTTAAAATTTATCAGTGTCATCTAGGGTCTGTTTCCCCTTATTTTTTACGACTGCTTTTATGTAGGTTCTGTGTGGCTGAAGTAAAGAAAAATCATTCTGATTATAAATGTATTTACTTTTGAATTGTCTTTTAAACTGCAAATTTCCAAGTCATCATACCAATATAAAAATCTTTAAATGCTGCACTAAGGCTTATAATAGTTGTACCACTGATGCCTTCATTTTCAGGTCACACTTCTATCTCACCTCATCTTGCCAGTGAAAGGATCATTTAAAACTGAGTGGAGAATTATATTATTCAGCAGCAAGCATTGGGAGTTTTGTTTAATGTTGGTTACTTCATTTGATGAAAGCATCATTACAAGTATAATGTTTTTTAAAGAAAAGACTGTTTGACCTTCTGTAAGATACCTAAGTATTCCTTTTAGCCTGAAGTTTTAAGAAAAGCAGGTGAATATTTTACATATTTAAAAATTCTGAAAATAGAAATAGATGACCCTTTATTTGTTTTAGAAAAAGAAAGGAATTGTCTACCTTTTGGTTAAAACCCTTTCTCATTTTTACATCAGCTATGTATGCACTGAGGTTTCATCTAAAACTGAAACTTCCAACAAAAATGAAAAAGAAATATTTATGCCAAAAGTACCTTTTCATCCAAATTAGTGGTAATAACACTACAAGAGTTAAGTAAAAATAAAAACGTGGATATTTTGTATCACAATATTCAGGTCTGTACCTTTCAGTGCATTTCAAAAGGTTCTCTATCCTGAGGGGAAAAGCTCTTGAAGTTTTCTAAATCATCATATTTTTTTCTTTTAGCTCTCTTGCATGCACTATTTTGTAAAATAAATAAGTAAATAAAAGGCCATAAAAAAAGTATACTAAGCTAGCTGAAATCCTGCATGTACAGTAGCTTGGTTCTGCTTGGTGAAACTTCTTGGATGCTAATACCAAGAGCACTACATTTCCTTTTGTCAGACATAGGGATAAGCAGAGGATTCTGTAATTACATCTTTGTGGGTGATTTGTACCAATTATGGAAAATAGCTGACAAGATTATTTTCAGTCAAAATTATTTGTGCTGCAAGGGTAAAGCCAAATTATAGCTATGAAATTTCTGACCATTGCTTAATTTTCAGTATTACTATGTGTTTGTTCAGCATATAACAGCATATAACACTATGGACATACATCTCACTGGAAGAATATGGTGAAATGCAAGCTTTAATGAAAGAAATTTTGAGTGAAATCCATTCACTGCAACTCAGTGCTCTAAAATAAAAACAGGCACAACACTGTGGAACATAGCCAAGAGGACATAAGCCCCTAAGTCACTTGGGTGTTCTTCATAGACTAGACTAGACTAATTAAGTTGGAAGGGACCTACAGAGATCATGTAGTCCAACTGCCTGACCTCTTCAGGGCTGACCAGAAGTTAAAGCATATTAATGAGGACTTTATACAAATGCCTCTTGAATGCTGATAGCCCTGGGGCACCAAGCACCTTGCTCAGAACCAGTGTCAGTGTCTGACCACCCATATTGTGAAGAAATACTTCCTAATGCTCAGTCTGAACCTCCCCTGGTGCAGTCCCTGACTGCTTCCCCTCCTCAGGGAGCTGCAGAGAGCAAGGAGTTGGCCTCTGGGAATCCTCTTCTCCAGACCGGACAACCCAAGTGTCCCCAGCCTCTGTCCCTCACGGGAGACAGCAACAGCTCCCCGGTTGGTATCACCGGCAGGCTTGTGAGGATGCACTCCTCTCCTGCATCTAGATCACAGATAACATCCTTAAACACAACTGGCCTAGTACTGAGCCCTGAATCTCATCAGGCCCTGTGGACTTCAGGACATCCAGTTGATCCCTGGTTTCTCTGTGAACATAGATGGAAAGTCACTGCTTCACCAGTCATGGACTTCCATCTCTGAGGACCAGACAGCCCATGATCTGTCATTACTATTAAAAAACGAGGCAAAAAAGGCATTGAATGCCTCCACCTTTTACTCATCCTCTAATGTTAGGTGACCATCTGCATCAGTTATCAGTCCGTGTTTTCCTAGACCTCCTCTTTCTGTTGACATACTTGAAAAAGCCTTTCTTATTGTCTGACACCACAATGGCCAGCATCAAATCAAGTTGTGCTTTTGCTTTTCTTGTTTACTCTCTGTAGATGTGAACTGCAGCTCTGTCCTCTTCCCATGAAGCCAGACCTTCCTTCCAGAGATAGTATATTTTCTTTTTCTGCCCTAGTTCCAGGAGGAGTTCCCCGTTCAGCTTGGAAAACTTCGACACCAAAGCTTGAATGCTCTCAAACAACAGGAGCTGAACTAATCCCAGAACAGATTCAGGCTGTAGAAACACAACTAATAGCAATGTCTGAGGTGCTGAGTTGGGTATAGAGATAGCAAGACTAATGCTTTGAAATATATATTTGGGAAGATGAGAATTCTTAAATGATGACCTGTTGCTAGGAAGATATAATGTTTTTTAGTAGACTTTATTAGATTTTTATTATTGGTCTCAAGTCCAATAAAGACCAGTGAGAAATTAAGAAATGATTTCTTAAAGCACCTTCACTGCTTGGAAAAACAAAACGTCATTCTGTTGCACCATGGCCTTGGTTTCTAAGTTAATCAGGATGAGCCCACCCTGTAGTCATAGAAATAACATTTGCTTTCTAAGGTAAATCAACTTGTCCCAAATATTAAATAATACCTGGACAAGCTGCTTTGAAATTAGCTTTTTAATCACCACACTGCTGTGTAGACCCAACCTTTGGCACATTTAAAAATTCGCTTCAAAATATTTGTCTGATCCTAGACTCTTAACCACTGGATCTGTCAAATTTTAGATTTCCCAGGTTACGTTTTATATCTGTATTTTCTAGAATTAATCTATGGTAAATCACATGGTTTTAGCAAATTCTTAAACATACCACATTCTTCAGTTAATGCTTGATGCAAAATAAAAAAAGTTGAAAGCATCCGTAGTTTTCTGATATTAGTTAAAAGACTAAACTATTCTCTCAGATGTCTTGAGGAGATGTGAGTGTTCCCTCCTTGTCTTGAATTATTACTATGATAATTTCCACTAGTCCTTTAACTGACTCCTCCTGGATAAAAAAATCCCATTCACCATAGTCTCACACAGAGTATGTCAGCACCGAACGGGTGCTGCAATAAGGATTCTGTTGCCTGTGAACTAGTCTGCTTTGTTAGCATTGCCTTTTTCCTCTTACAATAAGATCTCCTAGATTTAGGAGGGTAAGTAAGTCTATCACTGATAGGTTTAAACAAAATGAAAGCCTGCGATAAAAAGCTGAAGGGAGAGTTCATGCTGCAGATTCTCACCAGCACTAGGCACTCCTGGAATTGTTATTTATTGCCTTTTTCTGTGATAACTGAAAGCCAGGATTTTCACTATGGATGCTTCTGGGAAACAGAAAAGAAGTAGTAAGGAAAAAATCATCTGAAATGCTTTATGAAGGGTCAAAGCAGAGTGTCTAAAAGAAAATCAACCAGTAAAGAGTGCTTTAAGTTCTTCTGAAGGGTAATAAAGGTTTGCTGTAAAACAGCTACCATTTTGAACTCTAAGTGTGCTACTCCATGGAAAAATTATTTGGGAGGCTGCCCGGGGTGTTACAAGGAGCCTTAACAACATAAATTAAGGTCCTACAGGAGCTGGCTGATGGAGTGAAGGGAGCACATATTTCCTCCAGATATAAACAGCAGTCAGCATGCTAACTGGCACTCCTGGAAAATGCTGAGGGGACAAACTCAAACCATTGCAAGGACCAGAAAGAGTCCTCTCCCAAAACCTGCAAGAAAAGGATTCACCCAAGAGATGAACACTAAGGCTGACCATGTTCATAAAGGATATGCTGTCCCTGGCATGGATCTGACCCACGGCAGCTGGAATGAACTTGAGGGTATTTCCCAGCAAATCGGTGCTTGGAAATGAGAATGGATCATTTTCCATCACAGCCACCCTGTCTAGGGGTTAGAGTGATTCAAAGGAGCATTATGGTTAAGACACGTGCCTTTCCACTTCAGCTGGTGTCAGGGCCTGGGAACGCTCTGGGTACTTTTAATGTTGCTGTGAGAGTAAGGCATAAATACCAAGTGACCCTGGTTTGGTCTATACCCATGATTCATCTGTAAAAGTATTTTGCAAAAATATTGGTTTACTTGCTATATTTGACTATTTGACACTGGGAACTTTCTCTGTACAGAAATGGAGAGAGAAATCTGCAGGACCATCAGTAGATGTAGTGTAGTTCACCAACCCCTGACACTCTTTTCATATTTCAGACAGAATCAAAGAGTAATTTGCCTTAATTTCTATGACATTAGCTTATGGAAGTTGTTTCCATGCATAGTCAAGCACAGTCAAGATATCATGAACTAGTCAATCAATCATGACAATATTAAGAAAATATTCCTCTGTCCAAAGGAAAAAAAAATAAAAATCAAATAGCACCTGAATTATTGCCAGATACGATCTGAGAGTAGCTTCCTTATTGCCTAGCTCACCTTGGCCAAAATAAAGCCAGGATATTTTTGTGTTCCTCCACAGCATATCAGGATTACCCCTGCTGATAACGCTGCAGATGGAGAATTCTCCAAGCTGGAGCTGAAGAAGTCCCCTCTGCAGTGCATAGTTTGAACTTGCTTCAGCAAAGACTAGAAGAGAGTTTGTAGAGTTGTTCTCCCAAACCATGAACATTCACAAACCTTCCTAAGTAAACCTAAATTAGCCCCAAAATAGCTCTCGGTAATATTCACAGAACACTTGCAAAACTTGGTGTAGGAGATTTAAAATGTACACATTGGGCAAAAAATGTTTTACTCACATTTCTTTAAAACATTTTGGATGACAACAATGCCAGCCTTACTTGGACCTAATCAACTTTATACAACTTGTTCATCTCTGCATGGATTGTGTCCTATAAAGTCCTCTGCAGGAACGCATTTCTGTAAGCTGAGGGATCAGAACAAATTCATAGGAAAAAATCAGCTGATCATAAGGTTCAAGCAGAATAATGCAATAAAGGCAATGATAACATAAAGAAAACACTGATTTGGCAATAATGTGGCCTTTCGTGCTCCAGCATATTTGTTACTCAGAAGCACATTACCAGAAAGCATAACTTTTTGCTTCAGCACAGGGAGGTATAGCCTGATTCTGAACTACGTGTCAAGTAATTCTCCTCTATGATAGAACATTTTCAATGTATTGAGTGCATTTAACAAGCGAGGGGTGGAATAAATGTGTGTTTGCAGAGAACCTTCAGTTGGATATTCAATATTTAATACTGAGGTTAAAGTTAGCCTCTGGTTTTAAGGTTGCTTGATGTTGAGGGTACTTAACCTCCACATTTTCATTCTGTTAACAGTGTGCAGGAAGGGCTGAGGAAAAGCTTCATATCACTGCCTTGCTGTTTTGATATTTCATAATCCATTCCCACTGTTGTTACCATGCAGGCAATCCTCTGCAAATCCTCAGGCAACACATCATGAATGGTGATTTCTTTTCCCTCTACAAACTATTTACTGAATTCACACTAACAAATGCCCACTGAACTCTGGTTGTCTGACATTATCAGTAGAAGTGCATAAGTGAAAATGCTTCTAAGAGAGTTTTCTTTCTGGGAATACTGAAGCTTCTGGAAAGACCAACAATTTCTAGAGCCATTTGCCTGGGGATAACCTGAAAAAATTCTGTTTTAGTCAGCCCCAACTTTTGCCTGTCAGACTTTCAGACTACCTCTCACGATTGTCTTCTCCTCCACCCCCATGGATCCCTCTCTTCTTCGCAATTCCCTGCCCACTTTTTTCTTTTGCATCCCACCGCCTACCCACCTGATGTGCTGAATGGGTAATTTCCCTCTCATGTCAGCTCGTCCCTGGTCTTTTTTTAGAGCTGCAGAAGGAGTAGAACAACACCAATTAGGCCTACAAATTCTTCAAGGAGTATCATTTAGTATGGAAAAAAAAAGCTTCTAATTAAACATTTGTATGTAATTTCCCTCCTATTGTAACATTTCATCAGAACTTTCCCAGCTTAAAATAAACTATCTTGTGACTAATAGTGAGAGGGAGAGATTCAGCTTTAGTTTGCCTCACTTTGTTTAGAGGATTATTCCTCTAGAAAATATTATCATATTCCTTCTTCATGAGAAAAAGTGGACAAACTTTAAGACGCCTCACCCCACATTATCTGCAGTAATTGAGGAAGGGGTAATATCTGCTGAATGCTGGATTTCCAGTAGCTTGAATGAGTATTGTTTCAAATAATTCATGAGTCAGCATAAACAAATACTTTGCTTCTAACAGGCAATATATAGGGAAGAAAATGAAATGCTTAGGAAAAAGAAAGAAAAAGAAAAAAAGAATTGAGGCAAAGAATCTCAGTGCGAAGTCATGAGTTGTGAGGCACAGTTTTTGGTCCCAGGTCAAGACAGTTGATGTTCAGCAGTTATTATCATGACAAACAAAGGCGAAATTTGTACCTGAGCAATGTATTATATATTTTATAGGAAACAAATTAGGCAGGTATAATACTGCTTCCTTTTCAAGATCTCCTGTATCTAAAACATTACTATTCACCAACAATTCAAGACTGGAGAAAGAAGGGAGCCAAGCCAATCGTTTTAGTTCCTGGTCTAAGTGTGTAAAACATCTGCATCTAGAATTTGATGATCATGGTATAATCAGCTGCCTGGCCTGAACATTGTTTCTTGATACGTCAAATCAAAGATTAGAAAACAAATAAATTGTATTTGAAAAGCAGGAGACACTTTTGCAATTGGTATGTTCCATTTTTAAAAGAAGGTTCTAGATGCTATTTGGAGGAAGCCTCCTCTGCAAATATAAATTGGACTAGAATTGGTAGAATCAAGTAAAAATAAGCAATTAAATTAAGTACAGCTCCAAAAAGCACAATAAAATGAGATAAATCATAAGTCCTCCCTTCATTTTAACAGGTGACCTTTAGCAGGCAGGATGTTCTCTTGTGCTCATGAAAACAGACCCTTTAAAATAGTATCACATATTAATCTTTCACTTAGCAAATTCATCACATATTAATCATTCACTTTTAGCAAATTTCTAAAAACCTGATGACAGCAAAGTCTCTGACAATAGAAACTCCTTGTTTCGGCTTTTTTTCTATCATAGTTCAGAAGGCATTAAAATTATATATGTTCTCTAACATCCTCATCCAACTTACACATTATCAAGAGAAAATCCTTAAATTTTCTATGTCTAATTACGGTGCCTTTAATTCATCATGACTTTAAGGTCACTGATGTCTTTCAAGGGAGATTAGGTCTTCCTTAACAGACACAGTGTTTTAGGTAGTCTGCGTGAGACCCTTGCGAACCATATGAGCAACAATATAAGCAATTTCTTTTTCATGCTCACCATCCAGAAAAAGGAAGGAAGGAGGGAAGGAAGTTGACTGAAGCACAAGCAGAAGCACTCCTATGTGATGGTGTCTACAGAAGCCCTAGCCTTCAAACACTTGACAGCTGTTCATATCTTCATGTGTTTGCTGTAGGGCTAAGCATACTTGAGTAGGCAACTTTAAAAAGAAATTGTCAAAAAATTCCAATTCTAATTTCCAATATTACAAGACTGGCTGAAAACCCAAAAGCAGAATGATTAATAGCTCTGGGGAAACAAAAAAACCAAAAAAAAACAAACAAAAAAAACAAAACAAAAAAAAAAAAAGAAAAAAAAAAAGGTTTCATTCTAGTTCTGGATATTTCTGATTATAATTTCTTTGTATAGGGAATTCTTTCAAAGGGAATTTGGCAGTCCTTCCTCCATGTCTTTTCAGCAGAAGACCCTGTGCATCTCTGTGTAAGAGACACAGGGCTAAAACAGACATATCCTGGCTGTGGATGTTAGCATGAGATCGAGTCCTTCCTCCTGAAATTGCCATCTACCTGATAGAGCTGTTTTCCCCATATGACCTTGCAGTAGCCACATTTTGCTATGAAAATGAAGTTTCCTCTCTGCAGCAGTCGCCTTTCCCCTCCTGTTACACTCCAGTACTAACAAAGCCCCATTCAAATCACTGTTGTTATCACTAACAGAATGCCTAATCCATAACAAAATATTTGCTTTATCAAGAAACAACGACCCTCTGACCACAAGAGAGTTAGAGCCAAGCTAGCCTGGCATACACGTCTAGTAGCTGAATTTAATGCTTTGCATCTCCCTTGAAAATCCCTTCTTTGCACCTGTGCATGGGCTTAAACAATGATCCTCAAGCTCTGAGACCACCAAGAGAAGGGGCACTGGCTGCTCTCTCCTTCTTCAGGACCAGACCCATCACCAGGTGGAGCATTTGGTCAGTAGGGCCTGCCTTGCAGGAGGGATCTCACCTAGAGGTGGAGCTGGGTGGGAACTGGAAACCCCAAATCACACAGGAGCCTCCTTGGGGTGTGACACAGCTGCAGCTCATGGGAATACGAGCCAGCTGACTCAGTTACTATTTGGATTCTTCGCCACCAAGAATCACACATCCTAATCCCTGCATATTTCATAAAAAGAAAAAATAAAAGGGAGCCTTCAAAAATTTTTAAAAACACTTTTTGGGTCTCTCTACTTTCAATAAGCTGTAAAATGAACTCTAATACTGTAATTCACTTCCCTCCAAGCTTTAAAAATAAAGCACCAAGGTATAATTCACATCGACAATCTTTACACATATCCATGTAACACAATTTATTTTCATCTCCAATTTAAGAATACACCGCTGCACAATTCATTTACCCAGGTACTTCTAGATTTGATGCTTTCAGAAATCTTTTCAGAGTAATCTGTCCTGTAAAGCAAACAAAAAGAGGGGGTGAGGGCAGGGAGGGAAGGAGAGGCCAATATTTTATTTTCCCTGGCAGAAAAAAAAAAACGATAGCAAATAGCGGAGTGCTCTACTTGAGCTCGCTTTCCCCACTCTATTGTGAACCCTGGTCTCTGGTGCAATGTCTGAGCCATGGACACTCCAGCTACTACTGAGCTCTGAGTACCAGGTGCCTTGCAAATTATTCATCCTTCTCTTGTCTGAACGTTACCCCTTACAGCGCCTTTGCCATTGTCAAGCCTCGAGTTTACTGTAAGTGAATGTTTTGCTGAGAAGAGCTATTCATTTTTTTTTTCTCCCAGAGATTGCCTTGACTGCTTGTCCCTCTTTTGTCTGTTTGCTTTCAGTTCTTGACCGAGCAAACACATTTACAGGCAGAGATGTCTTTTCTAACAATGAGCATGAAATGAATATCGTTTCAAATTGCTCCAGTAATCACCAGCATTTGCAGGGGAAACTTCAGCCTGAGACTCATTCGGTCAGTGGACAAGAATAATATCATGACACAGAAGGGCCCTGTGAAACACCTCCTGTTCCAGAAGGCAAATATTGAATTCCCAGCATTGTATTTGCAGTAAATGGTGTGTGAGCTGAAACATGTTTGATTTATACATTGAAGCTTTGAGCCCTGGCTGCTTTAGAGTTTCTTTGCACTGCTTCAGCAAACACAGACGTCTCTTGTCTTTTTTTTTTTTTTTTTTTTTTTTGACTAAATAGACAGTGAGGCAAAGATCATCTACAGCAAGAGAAACCCTGGCTCCTGCGTCCCTTGGTAGAAAGCTTTGTGGTGTTTCTTGTCCATCTCCTACTGTCTGCCAACGCTGAGAAGCCCCCTATTACAGCAGCTGTAGCTGGTACCTGGGGAGCCCTAATGCCCCAGATCCAGCCAGTTGCCAGTAACCCACCCAACACGATGCCTGCAAGGAAGCACCAGGTCTATCAGAGATGGTGGAGATGATTTCAGGCCCACAGCTCACCATTACCCCCCAGTACCACCCTTAACACAGAGGCTGAACGGGTCCCAGATCAGGACACTTGTCACAAGTCAATTCACACTGTCACAAAGAGCACACCCATCCCCTTCTTTGGACAAAATATGAACATGTCCTGGATTGTGATGGCAGTACGTTTAACTTGGTTGATGATATTTATTCTGCTGGATGGCATTCAGCAAAATCCCTCCTGGTCCCCTTGGAGCACTTAGCATTTGCCCAGTCTGTTTGCTTAGGAATGGCCAGAGATATCTGCATCTGCAGTAAAAATTTCTTGGCGATCAGAAGTGCACTCAGGAACCATTTTTCTTGGTTATGGTCTAGCTTTTTTACTAAGCAATATAGAACTGGTTCCTGGGGAAGGCTGCCCCCCACTGTTTTGGAGGGGTTTTGTTTTGATTTGATTTTCTATGGATGATCTTTAAAAAGTCAGCATGCACTGAAAAATTGGGCTTATAGAGTTAGGGTATCCAGTGCTCATGAAGCCCAGGATCTAGCTGGTACTCAGTGAATCTCTGCCTGTGTAAGGGAATGTGCCTGACACATGTTGTCCCTCAGATCCTTCAGTTTTTTCAGGCTGGATGCGTTGCTGTCAAAATGTTGTTCCCTTTTTGTTTGGGACCACAGCTCTGCAGTATTCCTAGAGGGTGATGAAGGTATTTCTGTTGGTATATAAATTTGTATTACTTGCAGTAGGAACAGAATAAGGCATAGAGACCTCACAGGGTCACAGATGTCTGATGTGGCTCCATCAGCACCGTTCCCCAGCCAGCAGCACTGACCTGAGCAGAGTCAGAGTGTGGGGAATGGCTCTGCTCAGACTGGGGCAGGATTAGAGTGCCAGGGGTACGTCCACACAAGACCTGGCTCTAACAAAAGGCTGTAACTAGCTGTGTGATGGTGTTGATGCATCAGTTGAGCTGCACATGACCTCCTCGGGTCTGGAAGCAGCCCACTTATCATTGCGTGGTGTTGCTAATAAGCCCTGCTTCCTGATCTGAGCTGTAGATTTGGCAGTCGTCTGGCCAGTAAATCTGGTTTGCTTAGATTTAATCCTGGCTCAGTCTCATGAAGGTTTTGGATTATCAGATCCACACCCCATTGAATGAAGCTGTCATCTCCCATAGCCAGGAAGTGCTGATTTTTTCCTTTAGAGAAACAACTAAGGGAACAAGCCACGGAAAATATTTCCTTTACTTTACTTTATCTCTGATAAGGAAAAATCTGACTGAAAATGCTCAGTCTGCATCCTTAATATCAAGCAGTATGTATCAACATAAATGCTATTTCTCATCAGCCAATCTTCCCTACCATTTCTAATTGCAGCTGTTCTTAAATAAACAACTCCTGACATTGGTGCATGGTTAGCACATGCTGTTTATGGCTCTTCCATCACCTAACACTAGAGCAAGACGAAGATGTACCTGAAAACCAGTAGTCCTAAATTTCAGCTGCTTGGGAGCATAATTGATATGTAACTGCAGAACAGACAGCTGAGCAAGGTATCCATAGCCCATTAAAGGATTATGAAAACTTTATGATTTAAGATTATGAAGGAGACACCTTTGGTATTGTGTTTTCCAAAGTGCAGACTACAAATGCCCAAACTAGCTTTTCAAGTTTCATCATTACTAAGGATTGAATTACATATATTTAAAGGGAGAATTGAATTAGTTATATTTTTTGGATTCAAGCTGCACTGCTTGATCAAAATATGTAGTAGCCTCCTGGTACCTGTGCTGTTCCCTAAACAAAGGATCTTGGATGATTGATGTGTTTTGAATCAACCCTGTTGTTCAAGGAAAGAGTGTAGGTCAGGATCTCTGGTACCTCTCCTACAAAGAAAGGCTGACAGGTGCTGAGGCACTGGCACAGGTTGCCCAGAGAAGCTGTGGATGCTCCATCCCTGCAGGTGTTCAAGACCAGGTTAGATGAGGCCCTGGGCAACCTGATCTAGTGGGTGGCATCTCTGCCTATGGCAGGAGGATTGGAACTGGGTGATCTTTGAGGTCCCTTCCAACCCCAGCCATTCTGTGATTCTATGATTTATTGGGCACGCCCTCCCTGAAGCATTTGGTATCAGTACTGGTCAGTGGAGAACCCAAGAGTTCGTCAGGGTGAACGGCAATAAGAGTCAATGGGAAAATCAAACTTGGGAAGAAGAAATCGGCAGGAATATTTTTATAAGCCAGTAGAAACAAGAATCATTTCCCCGTTCTCAGCTGGTTTGCATTCACTGGTGCTCCCTGACAGAGTGCAGAGATGCAGGTAACCATGGCAATTAGAGCTAGATGCAGTTTTAAGAAGAACGAGACAAATTTGGGTAGGACTCATTTTCCATCACAAGCCATATGGAAAAAATGAATCATCCAGGAGAAAAAAGGATCCCAAAGAAAAAAAAAAGAAAAAGGCAAGGCAGTAACAAGCAGGAAGAAAAACCAACTCTTCAGCTATGAGAGCTCCTACCACTGCTCTGAATCCAAATCTCTGGCTCTGGTAGGCACCCACAGCCCAGCAGAAAGCCATGAAGGCTACAGCAGGTTAAAGCTTGCAGGTTTTCCTGATCTGCTGTCAAGGAGTAGCTGATTAGAGCACAACACGCTTTTGATAGAACAGTCAAGGGAAATATCCCCAATTAGCTCATTAGTACAAATCCCATCAGTCTGCCAGTTTTGACATCGTAAACAGAACCAGAAATTAAGTCTCTGATTCTGCTTGTTTATTTGAAGTTGTATCTATTTGATATAACTCTGCAGTCTCTTTTCCAATTGATGATTGGTTAAAAGAGACGAGTGACTGAAAACCTGTGAAAGATGCCATGTGTGCAGAAAGCACAGCGAGGTCTGAGAGCATCACCCCTTGTGCAGAGCTCCCCCTGCGACTCTGTTGCTGGTTCAATGTCTCCTCTTAATCCTGGGGCTGCAATCCATCAATTATCTGTCAGCTACCATCACACTTTCCTCTCATATTAGAGAACTCACTGGACTTGAACAGCTCAGTGGGGTGACAGGGTGGCCTGCCAGTGTTTGAGGGAAGAAATGAAATGTTGACAGCCTTGCAGCTTGGTGGGTCCAAATCCTGGGACAGCTTTGGTCCTTTGGAAACTTGTGCCACTGGGTGGGTCTGATTAGAGTAAGCCCTTCTGAAGAAATCTGTCAAAGAGAACATTATTCCTCGTGCTCACAGCTCGGAGTGTTTTCTAGGTTTTACTGTTACAGGAGCTTTCTCTAACTTTGATTGTTTGGAGGGGAGCCGTGACACACTCCTTACACCTTCATTAGAATCACTCATTACAGCAAAGGTTGCCAGGTCATTTGATGAGAAGAGATTAAGCAGTCGTGTCATCCCATCCCACGTACAGTGTGCCTGCACATGAATCTGAACCTTTCCCATCGCACGTGGCACTATTTGCAGACTGAGCAATTAAAAGCCAGCCTGGTTTCTCTGTATTCATTATATGTTGCCCTTCAGCAAAGAGAAGTTTGTTGCATTTTGTGGCTGCAGTCAGAAACGTGTCTCCAACCTTTCCCCTTTCCATGCTAGAGCAACCACCCTGATTCTCTGCACTTATGGTCTGCTGTAATTGGCATTAACAGAGCGTTAACAAGCTGCCAAGGGGCATCCAAACACTCTCTGCTAACCAGCATGAGGACTTAAGGCTGCATGTACAAAACTGAATTAAAAGGATTTCAAATAAAATTGGTTCCTAGCATGGCAGCCTGATTAAGCAAATTTTCATGTCAGTAGCCACTTTGCCTTGGGGGAAAAGTCAATGCAGTGTCCTGGAAATGTCAGAAGAATAGAGATGAGCTGCACCTTCTTGCAGACTCTCTGCACCAGCTGCAGCTGCTTCTACAGACTGGCTTTCCCAGGGGAGGATCAGCTCTCCATTCCCAGAAGTATTCTCATCAGCTGAAAATCTGTCCAGAGATGGCCAAGTGGGAGCAGTTTCTCTTGTTCTTTGGACACGCACAGCCCAGGAAGGAAGTCTTAAATTTAACAAACAAATCAAAGCATCTCTGTTGAAGAAGGTAGCATGAGGGGCAACACATTTGACAGCCAAAAATATCCTTAATACAGAAGCAAGAAGGCACTCACTTTGCCCCCTAAGTTTTGACTTCATCCCAAGGCCCATTCTTTTTTTAATCTTGCTTTCACTAAGAAGGGTGCCATTTAATTTCTTCCCCCTGCGATAAATCTTTTATAGTTGCAATAAATCTTTATCATAGATGCCATGTATAACATCAGACAGGTCACTTGATGTGCTTGCACCCCTTCTGTACAGTGAGAATAATGTCCAATTTGCTTGGTCTGCAACGCCTCTTACTCTGTGCATTTGTGTGAAAGTGGAATGTGTGCACAGGCATAAACCCTAATAGTACAGCTCTTCCTTGGGGACTCTGGAAGTGTTACTGTTGTGTTTTCAACAATAGTGATGATGTTGCAACTGCCATCACATCACTGCATAGCAGTTGCTAAACTGTTGTGCTTTTAAGACCCTCTGCTGGGAACAACTCCGAGCAAATTGTGCTGCTGTGGCACACAAATGACAGCCGGGACAGACGCATGTTTGCAGCACGAGACGTTTCCCTACATGACACATATGAAGGCTAGCTCAGCCCAAGTGTCATTACAAAACCACTCTCTCAACAGCCCCGTGATGCCACCGAAGGAGGAAAATGAAAAGCTCCTCCTGCATGACACGTGAGCAGCGTGCCAGCATTTGTGCACCAAAAACAAGCCATCGTGAAAAATCCCCGGAGTATATTAGCTATTTGCAGAGCTCTTACACACAGTTACAGATGCCTTGCTCAGTATTACTGCATGCCTGGCCCAGCTGCCGCGGGCTCTGAGCTCTCGGTGTGCACAGCTGTGCCTTCTTGGGCAGCCTCCAGAAGGTCTGCTGGGTGCTGCATCTCTGAACACACAGAGTCCTTTTGAACTGGGCTTGGCATCCTTTAATTAAATGCCTGACTTTGTTCCCTGGAGATGCTATCCAGGCTTTCAGGTTCCATGTTTGATCTGAAATCAGTGGCTGGGGGCCTGGGAACAGAAGGCGTCTGTGCAGGGACAGCTGTCGGTCACACACATTTCAGCCAGTCCCTGAACATCTCCATTGCCAGCAGACACGTGTAGCATTGCCCAGTGTGTTCCCCAAACTGCCTGACCTTCAGCAACCTTTAAGATCTCCTCACTAAATTGTACACGTGCATTCCTGTGTGTTTACAGCACTTGATCTATTGGAAAAGAGCTCTCTGAAAACAAAGATGGATTTTCTCTGGATCATGATTCAGACATTCAGGTTCGCTTTTAATTTTTAGCATGCTTCCATGATGCAGTTTAGGTCCTAGAAAATGTCCAGGCTGAGTCAAGAGAACAGAGAGATGAGAAGCTGGAATTTCCATCAGGTTGTTGTTGAAGACACACCTGAAGTTCCAAGATGAACTTTTCCATGGGTTGAGATTAGGGTAGGAATAGCAAAGGTGAATCTATTCATGCCCATAACATCTAAAGAATTGGGTTCAATGAAGGTCAGGGTTTGAGTCTTGGTTTTAGGCAGAATCACGTTAGTAATGGCCATGCACCAAAGTTTTAACCTGATCAAAAGCTGCACTGGGAACTGGACTGGGGTCTTCCAACTGAAGCTGTTTGAACATTGGCGTCTGCTCTGGGCTGGCTGTCTGTCCACATGTGCCTCCAGAAGGTGACCCAGCAAATTTAGACTTGGGTGTAGGATTTCTCACTTCCTGGAAGTGTTCATCTCTATTTCTCTATGTGACTGTGGAGGGAATTACAATGTGTGGCTTTTGCAAGGCTAAGCTTCAAAGTCTCAGCTAGACGTCCTTCAGATGGCTAAAGTTAGCTGGCACAAATACCAGTTCTACAGATCCCTGATGCAGTTTGTGTCCTAGGACACATTAAAACTTAGTGTAAACAGGCAAAAGACTAATACATTAACTTTCTATACTGCACAAAAAACATTTCACATTCCTATTAAAATTACTACATTATTTCATTATGAAAAATAAAAAAAGATGAGAAATGCCATACTTATGCCATTATCACATGCAGTTTTTTATATCCACATTTCTTCTTGGCAATTCAGGTATAAGTTATTACAACATTAACAGACCAGTCCTGCCATCTGATCTTTTCTTCATGTCTGAAAGTCAATACAAAATGATGGAGCATTTGAGAAAGCCATGGTTGGTAAATGTGGTGTGAGTTCTCCTGCCATTATGAGGAAAGAAGAGAGAGAGACACAGTGATTTTACTATTCAAATTTTCCTTCATTCCCTTTTTCCTTGGGATAGCTAACTAAGCTGGCAAACTGTCAGAATCAGACAGTGCTGTGCCGGCTCACCAAGGGCAAAAGCACACAGTGTATTTAAGTTCATACACAACCCAGCTGATTCAGAAAACATTAACTGCATGCTCAGAGATGAGGAGCTCTGGCACTTCCCTGGACTGTGATCCTTCTTTCCATAAACTCACCAACTCGTGGGGCTGAAGCAGAATTAGCTGTGTCACTGAACAGACTAAAGTCCGTTTCCCCTCCTCCTGTGACTTGAATATTCTCTCAGGTGATGCCATGACTATAATTAATTTTCTTTTAAGAAGAGTTCATTTTCTTCATAGAGTTTTTTATGATGTCAAGCAGACAACGCCAGGGTGTAAAATGAATTCCCTAACGTGGCCTCTTGATAGCTCTGCAAAGGAGGGCTGACACTTTGAGCTATGTCCATAGGACCACAGAGGCTGTGTCATGGCCAATTGCACCAAGATCTTACTCCTGCCGAGGTTGGCTGTGGACTGAAAATTCAATAACACCCTCAGGGGCACGACTTGCAACTGTTGTTTTAAGCACAGCATGTTCGTGTTGAGAATTTGCTTCTGAGCACCTGCTGATGGCATGGGACACAGGTCTGCACCTCTCTGGGCCAGCTGGCTTTCCTCAGGTTAGAAAAACTCTTCCTAAGTAAGGGAATCAAGCATACTGCCATGCAAGCCAAAACATTTTGACATGAAATATCCAAAATAAAAATATGGGCAGGAGTTCATCTCAGCAGTTTGGATGAGGCAACAGCAAGAAGCAGGTTGTGCAGGCAGGTTGGAGAGGGTTCAGTGCTTTCTGCTGCATCAGGGCTGCATGCCTGGCTTATTAAGCTATCCAGTGAATTCCCCACAGCATTCACTTGTAGACCTCCTCTGGTAAGTGCACTTGTTTGTGTCCAAGCTGTGAAGTGTGCATGTTTTTATGTCCTTCAGACCTGACCAGCCTCAAGGTCTGGCCTCTTGCTCATCCCCCCTAGACTTTTTCCTGGTTTGGTCCCCCATTTCAGGAGAGATGATGGAATGGGAATGCCTACATGGTTGGGAGTGCAGTGTTTCATAAGGGGGTGGTGGTGTTACCAGCCCGTAAAGTGCTTTGCACACTTTCTCAATGAAGGCACCTCTGGTGGTGTCAAACAAGAGGCAAAGTTTGCTGCAAGATTCACTTCTTACTGCATCTATCCAGAAAGGTCAGGTGGGTCCCAGAGGCAGCAAGCTGGCTTCTCCAGAGCCTTTGAACAGGTAAGGGAGCCTTCTAGCTGGAAGTCACACACCACTTGCCCACTCTGTGAGCCAAATGTATATCAAGTGTAGACTGAGAAAAGCTGGAATCTGTTGCCTAATCTTTACCTTTGACACACTTCTACTAACTTGAATGTGCCCTTTGCCAGAAACATGCTCATTTCCAACTTGCCCCCAACCACACATGCTTTTCTGCCCACTGCCAGCACCACTGAAGGTGGGACACGCAGACTCCTTCCATCACCCAGACCCGTTTTTACAAATGTTTGTTTGCTTTGATGCTCAGAGCTGCTGATGTTATAACATTTTTTCATAAATTTTATCTATACTTTCATACAACATTCTAATTGTTTGCCTTCTAAAAACATGGTTTCATTAATTTAATCTTGTACTGCAGAACATTTTATGAGATCTTAAAGAAACTTCATACTGTGCATTAATTTCTTTCCACATAATTGTATTTATATTTCAACAAATAGACTTGAAGTACATTATTATTCTAAAATGAGTGCTAATGGGTTTCAGCACTTTCATGCAGCTAATCGTGCATTTATTTCACAGCTTTGATGGCTCACAAAGACTTCCATTTCTTCATTTACATGAAACAACTGTGAAGGATAAATTAAATGGCTGCTTATTTCATCTACGGATTTTTTTCCTGAAAACTCTACTCAAAGAGTCCACTGCTGGTATACAACATGTAATGCCTTTAAAAACATAGACCTCTGTCAGAAAGACAGTTCCATAAATGAAAAACACAAACCTTCATCCACCCCCCAGCCTGAAAAAAAATAAAAAAAACACAAAATCCTGTGCATAAAAAAAAAAATTAACATGGCTGTTTTGCATAGCAGGGTGGACACTAATTTGCTGCAATTTGCTTTCAAGCCAAATCACAGAGGACCACAGAAGAAGGGAGAAATACAGATGTTCAAGAAGAGGGTTATTCATTACCCAGGAGACGCAGAGATGTGCTCCAGATCTGGTGTTAAATGTGTATTGTGCTTTGCCCTGAAGCCCACAGACTGTCTGGTTCCTCATGTACCCACATTAGACATCCTGAGCACTGGCATCCTACAGGGCAAGCTTGACAATGGTGACCTTGAATAATCAACTGCCTATGAAGGCAACAAAACACCCTCCAAATGAGCAGGGCCATGACTCCACATCCTCTTTTAAACAGGCAATGCTTAAATACTGAGGGATCAAAAGCCTGGCAGGCCCCATGCACACAACATCCTGCATAGTAACCCTAAGGGTAGGCCAGGGGTTTGCCAGCTGGCACTTCCAAGGAGAAATGAGGGACAGAGGAGGTTGAGGTCCCCACTCCTTACTCACCTGTCCTAGAACCTCCCTGAACATCTGTCCCTTGCTCTCCTGCCACTGCTGTTGATAAGCTTTAACCAGCTCGGGGCTTTCTGTCCTGCACTTGCACAGTGCAGGGGCTTTCCCAAGCAGTAATCACACCACTGGGCAAGAAGAGCGTGTCCTCCTGTGGGAGAAATGAGGTCAACCCACCTGAATCTAGAGAGAACAAAAGCCAGCCAAACCAGCTTGCTTTGGGTGAGTTCTGTGAGGGTTCCTCTATAACAAGCCAAGGACAAGGATTTCTCTGGGAGACTTTGCTGGTGTGAGCTGGAGTATCTCCACCCCCTGCCCCGAAGGTCAGTAACTGGATCATTGACCCCAGAAACAGCACCAAATTAGAGGTATGACTGAGCCTAAGACTCTTTCACAGGGCTTAACAAAGCTGTCCATAACCTTGAAAGGGAGTTCAAGGGAGTTTCCTTTTTGGGGAAGGAAAAATGGAGAATTGTCCATCACTAATGGCAGAAAAATAGCTTTCCCTACACTCATCCAATAATTAACAAAGCGGTTCTCTCCTTCTGCTGGTGGACCTGTGGCAACATCCAAGAGCCATGGACCTACCACTGAAATGCTGTGGCAACTGTACAAAAGCCTTTGGTGCCCTAGAGAGGGAAGGAAGTTCCCAGACTGTGTCTTTGTAAGTCTTAAGTAGCCCCACGAAGGCCACATTTGGGTTATTTCTAGAGCTTGTTTGAACCATTGAATCATCTGGCTTCCTGAGATGACCAATCCGCTGCTGTCATGACTGGTCATTAAAATGGCATAAAAAGCCTTTTTAGCACATTTCTACATGGCACATTTCTATGTATTTTTAGCTTTCTCTTTCAGAGTTTTCTTTCATGGAACTGAAATATTTCATATCAGATAATGATTTTTTTTTTCTTGGAGAAAAGTGAAGAGAATGAATTAATCCACAACAGCATTGATGAGGGGAAGAAAAGTTAATTGAAAAATATAATGAAAACACAGAGCTCGTTCCATCTTGTGTAGGCAATGGAAACATTGATATTGACAAAGAAAAATTAAAATTTGCTACAGAGTTCAAACACACTGTTAATATATGTATGATGATAACGCATAGAATCTTTGGTAAGGAGCCTTAAGGCACTCACACAATGAGTATGCAAATGTTATGGAAAACTACAATATTAAACACTAAACATTCTACTTTATTTTTAATTTATTTTTAAGCAAACAGAGTCTGGTAAACACTTTGGCCCAAGTTCCACATAAATTTAGGGCTGCTTCCATGCTATCAGGAGACACTGTGCTGAAAGTGGAAGCCTACTGGGAAAGAAGAGCTTTTTACTGGTGGAGATTCATCATCCCATGTCCCACATAATCCAGCTTCCTGTGGTCAGCGTGGCCATGCCTGACAGCGTTTCTGTTTGCAGTAAGATGAACACAGACCCTTAGGCTACCGTTCAGTTACATAATTGAGCAGAGCCTTTTGACTGCCATAAAACATCAAAGGCTCAGATGAGAAGGTGGTAAAGACATCACTCTTCCCAACCCAAGCTCTCAGGCATGCTGTTGGCCAGGGCTAAGGAAAGTAAAGACCAGAATTAAAGAACTCTGGCAAACTCACCCAGAAGCTCTGTGTTTGGTTTGCTTGTGCAGGTACTTGTGAACAGGAGGGCTGTGCTTGGGTGTTCAGATCTGGCTTCATTCAGTCTCATCAGGCTCCCCACTGAGATGCCAAAGGAGGTGATTTATCTTCCTAGTTTCTTCTGTGGTTCAGGGAGAGGAGCAAGAATGGTTGGTCTGACAGGCTGAATAGACTCCCGTCCCTCCTTTCGCTGTGCTGATAAATACATCTCCAGGGACAGAGACTTAATGTTTAATGCTAGGTCACATTAACAGGGATCTTCTCATATGAAGCTGTTTTCTACTCAGAAATATCTCAGCCTCCAGTGAACACACTGGTAGATTTGTTCCGACAGGCAAAAGCAGTGAATGAACCACGTCAGCTTCAGAAGAAGATAGAGTAAAATGCAGGCAGAAGTATCAGAGACACTGCAGAGTGAGTCCCAAGGTGAAGCACCCACTGACCCCATGGGGAGCAGGAGGACCACGCGTGCACTGTGCTAACTTTCCACCCTGAGCTGTGCAAAAGGTCCAGAGCCAGCCCAGCAAACACCTAGCAGCAGCAAGCCCCTGGGGCTGTGCCGCAGTCATAACTCACGTTTCCCACCAAGTTTAGTCCTGCAACAACAGTTTTTCCTTTTTCTTTCTAAATTGGCTTTGAAGCACTCCTTTAATTTTCAATATAAAGCATCATCATCACTGGCTATACGGCTGTGACATGCAAGGAGATAAAAGCAATAAGCCTTTCTCCACACAACCTCTCTCATTGACTCCTATAATGTCTGAGTTGGATATTTTGTAACCCTGCCCAATTAATTTTGTGCTCAGCGGCTCTTTCTGAACACAACGTCTTAAAAAAAGATCTGCTAAGAAATTCATTAACTTTACAATGTGGTTGGACTTCCTCCAGCCAAATTATTACATTTCTATAGTGCTAAAAATAAAGAAAAGCACTGTATAATTGAAACAACCCACACGGCAAGATTTATCTCCAAGACTCTGTATGGAAACCAAACCCTGGTTAATCTCCACCATGCAACACGGTGTTTCATATGATTAATACATAATACAAAAAGTGTTGCACATTTTCAAATAGATTCCCTGCAGGTAATAAATTACATGTCACAACTGCATGTTTGACAGTAGACACTGTTACACATTTAATCAGTGAATGCAAAATGACAATTTTTAAGCTGTAGTACAACTGCAGCATTTTGACGCTGCTTTGGCCAATGATTTCTCTCCAGTCTGTCCATGCCTTTTGCCTATGAGCTACAAAACACGTAAGTGAAGAGCCTCTATTTACAGCATTCGTATTCCATTTGTTATCTCTGCAAAAATCTTCCCTCTCCCTCAAATGCACTCATGTCAGATGGCACAGCATGCAATTATGCCCTGCATGGTAGACTAATTTCCTCTCCTGACAGAGCCTTTCACAACCAGAACCTCACATGTCTGGAGTGCCACTGCAGCATAGCCAACACCTTTTCGATCTCTTCAGCCTAGCCATAAAATCATAGGATTTCTGGCTCAGATTTCCAAAGGAGTTTAAGGGACCTCATATCCTGTTAAAAAGAAATGCTACATGAATGTCTACTCCCTCAAGATTATTTTTTTTTCATCCTTTGTGGAAATGTACCTCTGTATCCATTAGGATGTTCGCTCTGCCACACAGCATATCAGGGATGCCATTTCACTTGAACAGATAGTTAGTGTAATGACAGATTGCACTCTATCAGAAGGATCCATTGTAAAGAGATATAACATGAAAGAAAAATCATTTTCTCTGGGCTGCTATTCTTTTTGCCAGCCAGGTTGGTGAAAATTGACAAAATCAGCCCAATGTATGGATGAAGTGTTCATTTTTGACCCCAGCCAAATACTATCCAATATAAACACAACTATCTGCTTTGCATCTGTGACTTCTCCTGCTTCATCACTTCCAGCCTGACTGTGGCTGGAACACAGTGAACCTGTAATTGATTGGTATTTTTCCTGTTCTAACTGTATTTTCAAAAGAATGTATTTTTTAACTAATGCTCTACATCACTGATACTTCATTAATCCCTGCATTTTTTCCCCTATTAACTACTCACAGTTTATATTAAAAATGATTTATGACCCTTTATTCATTGCGATCATCTCTCTCAGAATCTCACATTTTATCACTGCTCCCTCATCTTGTCCTAGCTGTAATGGTTTCTAGCTTTCTTTTATTATTTTAATTGTTGGGGTTTTTTTGACCATGGGGAATTTAGTTGCTGAACAATTTCCAGGTTTTGTTAATGTTTCCCACTCCAGGCTCCTTTTCTCAGCAACTTGTGTTGACAATTGCCATAACCTCTGGGGAAACCACTCTCTAACAGCTCTGAGCATACAGGTTACTGCTCAGTGCCACATTCTGTTTGCACCAAGCAAATGCAGCAAGACCACAGCTATCAGTTCCCAAATGCAACTTACTTTCAAGTCAGTGATAGGCTTTTTCAGCCTCATCAACCCATCATGTATTTCCAGCCTAGATTTACCCAGCTCAGTACAGAATTGCTATTATTTTTTTAAAGATATTTTATTTTCCATATGGAAGGAAGCAAGTTATTCCACATCAGAGACTCTAGATGCCAGTCATGTTTTTCACAGAATCACAGAATTGTCTAGGTTGGAAGAGACCTCAAGATCATGGAGTCCAACCTCTGACCTAACACTAACAAGTCCTCCACTAAACCATATCCCTAAGCTCGACATCTAAACGTCTTTTAAAGACCTCCAGGGATGGTGACTCCACCACTATCCTGGGCAGCCCATTCCAATGCCTCACAACCCTCTCAGTAAAGAAGTTCTTCCTAAAGTAAATAAGTTCTTCCTACGAACTTTTTCCTGCAATATGTTTTAGAAAAATGCTCAGGAAGTCCTCCCTTGCTACTGCAGCACACAAGAATGTTAGGCAACCCCATTAGATATCTATTAGAGCCCTAGTCCCTGAACTCCAACATGCTGTTATTATGAATGATCCTGTAACTATGATGTTCCTGGATATCCAACTCAGAAAGCTGTCCTCTTGACATTGGGGAAGCCTAGTGTGCTATAAAAACTCTCCCTTTCAGTATTCACTTGTCTCCTTGCTTCTCTACAGTATTCTGTCCTCTTGATAAAGAGTGGACAGAAAGCATGGATTTCTAAGGTATTGTTGTCATTTTGTGCTTCCTTTCTGCATTTAGAAGGCATTGCAGGTACGTAGATTTGTGCTGGAGAGATTACAGCTAGTCCAGTCTGACTTGTCAACAACTGCATTTCTTATACTCAAGATCTGTTCTATTTTTCAGTGATGCCCTTTGGTCCAGGAAGGGACTTTTTGTCCTTGTCTTCACCCCACTGGGTACATCCCACTTTTTCTCCACGAAGAGCCCTCAGAGAAGAGCAGTTTTCCTGAAGCAAATTCTGTTGCTTTTCTGAGCTCCTCTGCAGTTCAGCTAAGTAACAGTCCTTCAATTGCTTTTTCTGCTTTCTGCAGGACATTTTGTCTAGCTGCTCCCTCATTATGCTGCATTCATTGATCTAGCTCAGCATAAAAAAGCCAATTGGATCATTCACCTTATCCTTGTTGTTCAGCAAATGCCGGTGGTCTGCATTTTGCTGTCCTTATTTCTCAATGTCAGCAGGCCTTTAGCTCTTCCCCTGTGAGATCTGGAGCCACAGTAAATGATCCAGGAGTGTTTGGTGACATTTCACAAGTAGTCACTTCTTCAAGACTTTGGAACCTAATTTGTTACCTAAGTAGGAGACATCCAGAGACAATGAAACCAACAAACAGACAAACAAAAGCCAAACTGAGTGAAGCCTCCAGATTTCCTCTGTGATCATTTCTCCCATTAGCTGTTTGCTGTTATTGCCCAAATGACCTCTGCTCAGCTGAGCTCAGTGCTGGCCTTCCCTGCCTCTTTATTAGAGGTTTATCCAAAACACACACAGACCAAGCTCAAATGTGGCACACACCTGGAACAAAGTATTCAAGAATAAAAGCCACTTTCCAAAAAGCAATAAGAGCCCCAAACAGCTTGCTCAGTCACCTCAAAGGCTCGAGGTCAGCAGCCTGCTCCTGAGAGCAAAGCCTAGAAGTGGTCAATTGCCACAGCTCTGAGTCCACATGCAGTGCGCCTCTCTCAGCACTGCTCCTAACTTCATGTCTGCCTTTTGTGAAACACCTTTCATTATGTCTCATTAAGTTCCTGATTGCTTTTGGTTTTTGCTGCTGTGTAGAAAATAAGTAGCACAACAAGGGCTGGTCTGTGTGCAGACTAGACAACAATATTTGACTAAAGTGCAATCTGGAAAAGGAAGCTGTGAGAAGCACTATAAGGAGGGAAAGTTGAGCATTCATTGAAGCATTGAATGCCATTGGAGAGGGAGCCTTAGTACTACAGAAGGGTGAGCTAGTCATGCTGAATTAGAGTACTCAGGACTTCTAGAAACCACCACCTCTGGTTACCAGAAATGCCATCAGCTACCTATATGTCCACACACAATACAGGGCTTTCCCTGCCATATAATCCTGCCAAATCTTTAAGTCCTTAGCATATGATACCCCATTCACAACTTGCAACACATCCATATACAATCCAAAGAAACAAGTTTTCACTGTAGTTCCTTATTTCACATTGAAGTAGAAGTTATGACAAAACAAGAAAGATGCATGTGATAATACTATATCTGTAAATAAACTACGAAAACAGTGCGAGAATTGAACAGTGATCTTGCAACAAATTTTTCAATACAAAAAAAAAATAACATCCAGATGGCCAGGACTGCAGCAAGTTCCCTTGGCTATTAGAGGAGGCTGGAGTGGAAAACTAAAAGGATGCTGATGGAGGATGGACAAGTGCTGAAAGAGGGAAAAAAATAGGGGAATTTTGAAGGAAATGCTTCTGGGGATCTGAAAGCAGCTCAGGAGAGATTGCTTGTACTGCAACCCAACAGCCTGGCAGCAACAGCCAGCCCACCTCTTTGAACACAAGGGAAACCAGAGTCTGCTGAGAGCTGGTTATTAGACTTACTGTTTCCAAATGACTCAGCTAAGCAATGCATGTCAGAGACCTGCCTTCCAAGTGAAAAGTGATGTTTAGCACACAAATATTTTCAATGAGTTTGTTTCAATTCATTTCACTACACCATTATTCTGGGGAATTTTAAGCATTTACAAAGAATGAGAAATGTCTACACTACAACAAATACTTTCAAAAACACAAGGAGATCTCAAAGAATATGCCCAACTACCTTTATGCAATCCCATAGACTAAGGGATCATTTCCAAAATGGGTCAAAGAGTTCCCATCAGTTCTAGTTCTGCAGAAATTTAGTTAAATGTCCAGTTGCTGTGAATAGCAACCAACTAACCTCAAGATTGGTGAATGGATGAAAGAAAAAAGCAATACAGTTATAAAAATTCAGATGATGCTCTAATCTAATGGAATAGTTCCAAGTAGCTGGTGGTAGCTTGGTCAGTACTCAAGCCAGCTTGGCAGTCCACATCATGTGGACAGAAACTGGCAGTAAATTTAGGAGAAATCTTGAGCATCTGCAACTTTACCCATTAATTTGATGTCACCTGTTAATGAAATATGACAGAGCTGTAATGGCAGCTGAAGTCATAACAAGTTCTTAAGACGATTCAGTTTACAGGGAGGAAAGACAACTCAGTTCCAGTCAATGCAAATGCCATCACAAGACGTGTCATGGATGCATCTGCCGGAAGCATCACTCTCTCCAGCTATGGGACGTTATTCAAAGCCATAGGATGCAAAGGCTGGTAAACATGCCAGAACATTAAAAACAGCATGTTCAAACTTCTTACTGAGGGAACATTGGCTGCATGAACAGAGAGCTAATTGGCTCACTTTTTGAGTGAGAAAGACGTAGGGTTTCCAAGGTTTTCATTGCATGGCTTCTGAGTTCAGAGCTGTACTGCCCAGATCAGATATAGTTAGGAAGGACTTTTCAGTAACCCCTCCATTTAACGCATACAATTCTATGAGGACATCCATTCCTTCAAACAGGTTAAAAAAAAAAAAACAGTCCCTCTTTTGTAAACACAAATTTAGACGTATGCATCAAGGAACAGGCAGGGGGAGAATTTAAATCACAGATCTCAGAATGGTTAAGGCTGGAAGGGATGTCTGGGTGCCTCCAGCCCAACACCAGCCCCAGCAGGGTCAATTCAATCAGGGTGCCCAGCACCATGTCCAGGCTGCTGCTGGAGATCTCCCTTCAGCTGTCCTTTCAACTGCTTTCACCTATTCTGACAGACATATTTTTGTCCCCCTAAGATAGGGCTTGAATACCCACTGCACAAAGCAGAGAAAGAAATTGGCTAAACACCTTCTTTCCCTGGAATCTCACTAGAAAAAGAGCAGAGGTTACTCCACTTTTAGGTTGTACTCCTGCTGCTTGGTCTCCACAAGAGCCATGCTTCTCAGCAAATCTTTCTGTGGAGGCTGGCAATTATCAGATTAAGTTAAGAAAATGTTGGGGGGAAAGAAAGGAAAAAGACAACTTTAGTGCTTTCTCTCCATTTCTCAGGAGCTTTTGGCATTTATGATGGGAGCAAAAGTTGGGGTTTGGGTATTTTGTATCTGAAGGATACTTTCTTTAAAGAACAAAGACAGAGCTCACAGTGCCATTAAAGAAAATGCTTTATACAAGCAATCCACAGGCAGAGACCAAATACAGACCACTTGCTGAATAAGTTTAAAACTAAGAGTTCACCAGTAAATCACTAATAGACAAATAGTCAGAATTCAGCACTTTGTAGTACCACAGGGGGTTTTGTTTATTTTGTTTTGGTTTGTTTTTGGTTTTGGTTTTGTTTTGTTTTTCCCTTGCAAATGGTTTGCCCAGCTCTATTTTAAAATCAGATCTGTCAGCAGCTCCCTGGGGTATTGCCGTTTCTTTGGGTTTGCATTGGGAAATATCAACATGTGGAAAAAACTTCAATATACTGCTTATTATACACAGCCCCTGAGTATAATGAGCAAACAGCTTTTGCAATGCTGGGTTGCTATTCAGGCAAGCTACCTACAAACTGGCAAGCTATTTGTTAGACTATCAAAAGACAAAGATGTCAAGCTGATCAAAGCTCCTCTGTTAAGCTTTAAAATATCTGTTATTCCAAGCAATCAGAAAAATCCTGGGAATTAATGTGTAATTTGGCAAGAAGACCCATATAAGCCAGGCTGCCCCCAAACTACAAAAATTCAAATGTGTGTACTTGGAAATATTCTGCTTCTTGCAAAGAAATAAGAGAGACAAGCAAAGAGACTAAAAATAAACCAGCACTGAGGGCCAGTGTGATGCAAATTCATTTTATTGCAACACACCAAAACTATTTAGTCAGATAAATATGCTTAATTAGTTTTGCCAGAGTTGGGGAGAAAACATCTTTGTGGCCTACTTATTTTCTTGAAGGCTTATTGGGGCTGTATTTTATTTTGTAGAAATTTTCTATTTTATGTGCCTTTTTGGTCTGATTCTCAAGAGGGAGGCTTCGATGCATTAATTTCAATGCATGTTATGAGAATATCACCAGCCAAGTGTCTTGCACACAATTCCTAAACATATTGAAATACAGAAATATTTCATGCAAAACAATTAGATTTTTTATAGCAGTTTCTGCTTTTACTTAAACTGAGGTGGAAGCAAAGATTTTAGAGATTTTTTGCATTCAACCATTGGTATCACAAGTCTGCCCAAATCAAGCTGGGGTAATCATTCAAGTCTTCTACTTTACCAATATTTCCTACAATGTGATATCATTTTCATATCATCACTTAAGAACAGTGATGAAGCATCAGTGGACACTGAATCAGATCTGGAAAGATCATCCTTAAGCATACAAAATAGCTTCAAGACTTTTAGAAATTATCTCAAGACATGGAATGCAGAAAGAATCAAAGCAGAGCTGCTGCTGTGCCACAGGTCAAGACTGACCTTTGCAGAGCTGCTCAAAGAGAGAACACGAACAGCACTGCACACAGAGGCAAGCTGGTAGGTTCCTTACGGAGAAAAGGAAAACTAAAAGAGGCTTGACTGCATAGCTTCCCTGTGCTGTCATAGGCTATAGCTCTAATAAAATCCAAGTGCTTATGCAAAAGTTGATTTTTAACCATCCTTTTTAAAGCTCATTCTAAATAGGCTGCTCCTAAGAATAGGACTTAAGCACTATTGGACCAGGAAAAAAAAAAAAAAGGAAAAAAGTAAAAGGAAAGGACAAAACAGAAAGTGGGGAATAGAAGGAGAGATGAGTACCAACCATGAAATATCATTACAGTTAAGACACAGCAGGGAAGTAATGCATCAGTCTGGCAAATCAGAGCCTGGGCAGATACATACCACCCTCAGGGCCTCTTGCTTGAAGCCCTTTGGGTCATTTGGTTCTGTTATTGCAGCATAACACACAGCAGAGCCCTCACTCTTCCCTTCCCTCCCTGTCTCCCCGCTTTCTCCTCCCCTGGTTGTCATCCCACTTATTGTATGATTACAGCTGCCTTATAATTATTGATGCCAAGTTAGGTATCTTGTTAATCATCACCAACAATATGACACAAACAGTGAGGGAAGATGCTCTAAGCACATTCCTGCTGGAACAGCCAGATTTTTGTCTCTCCCTCTCACAGCACCAGGATTTGCTCTAGAGATAAATGAAAGCATGAAAATAGGTGGGTTTGAGCCAACCTTCACTCACATAGGCTGAAAGAAGAAGTTCCGGCAGGTAGGGGAGAGTTTATGGGAATTTCTCCTACTAGGGAGAAGGAAAGAAGATTTTGATACTATGGAGATTGACCACACTCAACAACTGGGGATTTCCCTTCAAATCCAGTGAGTTCATAACATCACTGAAGGCTGGGATCCAATACCATATCCTGGGCAGTCAGCAAGGTGAGTACTGGTGTGCATTGCACTATGTATCTCCAACTACTCCTCAACTAATGCTAAATCCCAGACAAGTTTAGGAAGGAGGGAGCAGGACTGCACAGACACCCATACTTTTTAAAAAATAAAAAAGGAGAAATGGTACAGAAAGAGTGAGAGACTTACCTCTCATGAAGAGTTCTCTGGTGCTGATATTACCAGGACAGATGTAGAGACATAGCCATTACCTACTAAATGTTGATAAACATTAGCTGAGGGCACTCCTTAGTTTATTTTCCCCACACTGGTTTAAGCACAATGCTGAGTTCAGTTCCAGATAGACACTGGACTCTCAGCAAGTAGAATAAGTAGCCAGGGCTTGAGGTTTAAATATTCAGAAGGTATGAAGTTTTCAGAGGTTTGTTCCCTAAAACAGCTGCACCTGTTTTTCTTACTTGCCTTTAATCCCACTAAGTGGCTATACACGTGCAGCAATTACATCCAGATACCAGGACCCTCCAATTTGCTTTGAATACAGCCTGGGCAGGCAGCTATCCAGACTACATCAGTCAAAGTAATGACAGCAAAAAAGATTAAAAAAGAAAGTGTGAGGAGGAGGATGACATTCCAGAAGATGATAATTGAAGAACTATGAGAATGTTCATTAAGTTTGACAATTTCAAGCCAAAAGGCTTCTGCCCTGGCAGGTATTTTATCTCCCACTTAACCCTTCACACCTGACCTCCCTGCCCAACACTGTTCCAGGTGTCCCTGCATCCCAGATGAGCAATTGCCAGTGACCCTAACAGAGGCAATCCACCTTTCTTCTAATTCGTTGTTCATCACAAGACACCTAAAGGCTCATTGACCCAGACTCAAGCACATTTATCCTAAAAAATTGCCTGATTTGGACCAGTCAGTCAGCAATTCAGTATAAAAATTCTAGAAAAGCTGGGTGTGTTCTGTATAGCTTTTTGTGCTTGTCTTAATTAAAGCTCTGTGTTTAGGGGTCTCTTTCTTAGAGATGGGTCTCATGTGGTGTGGTAATTCTTCCTATGATTTTGTAGAAGTTAAATCCTTCTCTGGCTGCCAACTTCCTTTCTTGTTGCTTCTGACATACTCTTGGTCCCACATCATCTGATCATTGCTGCTTTTTCCTGCTTCTTTGTTTTTTGCACCTGATGATGCCTCATAACTGTCTAAATCCCATTCATCCCAGAAACATTTGGGACAGCCCTTTCTGCAGTTGTAGGGATTTCCTTTGCCCTTCCATATCTAGACTGTCAGATTTAGTTTCCATTCACTATTCAGAAAAATCATTTCTCTCAGTTTCGGGTTTTGTTTTGGTTTGTTTTGATATATTGCTAAATCCTTCTGTAGCTAGATGTCTTCGATAGCAAAATGTTTCAGATTGTACTGATGAACTCCAAATGCATCTGGGGTGGGATCTGATAAATATAATGATTAACATTAACTAATACATTCTGGAACAGTCAGCGCAGCACACCCACCATGCAGCTCTACCCAACATATACATCAACAAGTCAGCTGGAGGGGTTGGCATTTATAGCAAATCACTCGAGTCTGTGCGCCTTGCTTCCCGGCTGCTCTCTCAGTGCTGCAAAAAACGCAGAGATTTCAAGGTGACAAGGAGCCTGGGAGATCTGAGCAGTGCACTGACTTTAATTGCTAAGTAAACCGAAGAAATAATAGAGAAATGAAAGCTGACTTTTATCTTTATGAGTGCAAAAGAGTCCTAATTAGATGGGTTAAATCATGCTTCAGCTTGCAGTGTGAAAGAGCAGCCTTGTGTTATTCTTGTCCAAGCCATCGTCCTGGCTTCTACCAGGTGTTGAACTGCTCACACAGTGAAGCTGCAGGATTAGTGCCTCACCTTGCTTTTGGATTTATACAGGGATGTCTAGGGAGCTGTTGATTTGAGTGGAAGAGGTGATTTGTCTTTAAGAAGTGTTGCAAATTACATGAGGAAAATAAGTCGAATACACGCACAGCATCCTCTACAGCAACGGGAAGTCTTGGCAATTTCTGTGAGCTGATGATCCTTGATGAAAAATCTCAGCTCCCAGATAAGCCTTAGAAATAAATCTGCACACAAAAATTATTTCGGGCCTGAGCCAGCAAATTCAATGGCACACATCGTCTTGATGGTGTGGGATGTGAATCACGCCCTCTGTGCTAGACTTTCAGCCTGTGATACACCTCAATAACTTCAAAATCTGAGTCTGGGATGTTAAAGTTTGAGGAAACTTGATTACCCAAGGACCCCTTCTAGCCTTATGTTGTTATCATCCTTTCCATTCAGGGACAATGGACTTTCCAAACAAGCTTCCCTGACCTAGAAGCAGTTCTGGTCCAAGCCAGCTTTAAAAAGTAATTGTTAAATTGAGTTGGTGGTTGACTTACTAAATTCAGGGTTGGCTTATCTACATCAATTATTTTAAAGATCACTATCTTCAAATTCCGCTTCTCTAGCTACCTCTTTAATATGATTCTCCTGCAGGAAAAAACAAGCGTCAGCAAATGGAATCTGGCAAGAAATGAATCAAATAAACTTAAAATAGTGTCATGGTGCCTATATTAAATTTCATTTGACTGAAGTTATGCATCTGAGAACCCCATTGTTCATAGCTAAAAGAGAAAAGAATTGATGACATCAGCAATTTATTTCATTATATCACTATAGGATGATAAATAATATTTTCTTCAAGTCCTTCTGTGTTCATCTGAAGTGGTTTTAAAGAGTGCATGCAGTGTATTTGTATTTAAATTATTCTACTTTCAAAATCTTGGAGAGCTGAGACAGCAGGAGATAATTTGTGGGACAGCTTGAGACACTTCTCCAACAGTTGTAATATTGCTGCAATTGTCCTCTTGCTTCCTACAAAGCACAGAGCTGATGTTGCATTGGAAGCCCTTTCACCACGTATGCTCCTTCTCCTCCTCAGGATGGAGATTTCTGGATGAAGGAAAGCTTTTCCTGAAATCCAGGAGGTTTTCCTCATTGCTCTCAGCAAAAGCATCACCAGGAATAGTGTGTTTTGTTTTCCTACACCAGTCCTGTTTAGATTCTTCTCTTCTTGACCAACCCTAGTTTAGTTTAGTCTGCTTGAATTTTGATGGTTTGTTTCCATTTAGCCTGACCTTGGTCTGTTCCCTTTTGTTGTTTTTCCTCTAACACTCCCGGTATTCTGGCTTTTGTTGCAGGACACAAGATCACCTTCTGCTCCAGCGCCTGAGTTACAGTCATGGACCACTGCAGGACAGATGAGAGATTTACTACCACTCTATCCTGTATTTCAAGCTCTGAGCAGGATTCATAGTAAGGTTCATTCCTGTGGAACCAACTGTTTTAAAAACCAGTCTGAAAAAAAGGGGATGGATAAGATGGTGCCCATGCTGAGGGCACTCAATTTCTTCATACACTGTTGCTGTTACCCTGATTTAAATCAGTCACACCGCAGGAGATTGCATTGCAACTGGAATGAAAAGTAGCTTTGATATACATATATATATATATAGCCTCACAGTGAACCTTAAACCTTAAGACTTTTTGAAAATAACCCAGAAACTTAAATCCATCTCAGAAATTCTTCCCAATTAAATCTTATGTGACCTTTCAAATGTCTGTCTGATTCTTCATCTCAAATTATCAGAAATTGTTCATTTAAATTACTAGTTTCAAATGCTCAAATTCTCTCTCTCTCTTTTTTTTTTTTTTCAAATTCACTCCTTTGAAATTCTTTGACTGGCTAAGGATAACTTATTAAAAGACATATTACCCCTGATTCTTTCTTTTCCTCTTTCTTCTTTGCCCTTCAGATTTTTTTGTCAGAGCTCAATGGATGAGCTGGACTGAAAAAATAAGCAAATCTTAGAGGTGGGTGAATATTTTTTGGAAGCTGTTTCCTGCTTGCCACAGGAGACACAAACAAACTTTTCTCTGTTCTCTGTGGTCAAGGATTGGACAACCCTTGGGTGTCACAGAGCTGAGGCTCTTGGTGGCAGGCAGCTTTCCATGTATTTTGGCAAATGGTGGGAAGGTTTTTGGATTAGTGGTGGCTCCCTTTGCATGCAGTGAGATTCTCCATGATGAACTCCTTGGCCCTGTCCTCACACCTTTCTTTCTCTCCTTTCTCACCACCATTAGGACAGAGCCCTTCCTCTCTTCTCCCACCTTCCAGAAGCAGGCCAAAATGGAGGCAGTTTGGTAGCTCGATTTTGGGGCTGTTTTGGTAGACCCAGCAATATTTGCACTAACAGTAGCACTGTCTGTGAAAAGTCCATCTCATAAGTGACAAAATAATAAATCCATAAGTTGTGTTGTGGGATTTCCCAGCCCAAATCAACAACTCCATCACGTACCAGTCCTTCACTTTACTGCACTCCAGCCTTCAAGGGTGGGAAGAAGGCTTTTTTTGCTAGAGCAGACAGGTGAACACATCCACAGTAGGTGGTATTGCTCTAGTGAGGATGCTAATTCCAGTCCCATGCTTTGAACTGGGAACAATTTGGTAGTTTCCTAAAACCTGATTTTTTTATTTTTTTTTCCAAATGTATGCACTATGTTTCTTTACAGTTTGCAGATCACACTTCACTAAGTCTGTAACAATGGCCATTGTTCCTTGGTTTCTGGGAATTAACTTCTAAAAACACTCCAGTGTTTGTATTAGATACTTCCCATTATGTTCCCTTTACCTGAATCAAATCAGACTTTCCTTAGAGCAGAATGACAAAGAGAAAGGCACACTAGAGACTGTAACACTTCTACAAGACCACATGCTAATATAACTATTTCAGGCTTTAAACATGTATTTTTTTTCCTCTCTTTCGTCTAAACAATTTGGTATTTTTGAAAACATGAAACGGCCTGTTTTTTTAACAATGTGCAGTACAAAGAGCTTTTACATTTTCTTTTCAAGCAAAACTAAAGAGTGGAAGCAGCAGCTTCACATTGCTCAGACACTTTCATTTCTGTTAAAGAAACTGGCAGTTTGTTTTCCTTAGCAAGCTGCAAACCTCTTTTATCAAGCTTGCACACTAGCGGTGAAAGCCTGAGAGAAAAATCCCAAGCTGTTGATGAAAGTGGCTTTCAATTCTTGGTGAAAATGCAAAGGGGAGCTTCAAAACAGAGAGTTATGCTCTCTGACAGTGAAAAGGGAAGGATTCTTACAAGAAAATGGTGAAAACTGAAGGTTTTCTGCCATCGCAAGCTCTGTTTGCTAGTGAAAAGTGTGAAATACAGTGCTGCAGAGATTCACAGCCACTCATAAAAATGTCAGTGTTGATGTATGAAGTGAAAAATCGCTGGTTTTTATCAGAAATCCCATCTGTGTAGTTTAGTTTCCATCATTTAGGAGGCTTAAACACACATACACCCCTATATATATATTTGTAAATATACATAATTTATGTTGA